TCCACTGAAAGATATCCAATTCATAGGATAGTTCAGAACTCCTGTCATTTCAACATCCCACTTCCCTCTAACTTGAGAATGTCCCAACACTAGATGCTTTAGATCTGAAACCTCAGAATTTCCTTCAAAATGAAAACTAATCTTGCTCTCAGGGAAATGCATAGGAAATGGGTATTTGAGAGAACCCAAACCCATACTTGGATCTTTGGAAGAATCCGTCATTTTTAAAATATCCAAAGCTTTTATCTGAAAAAAAATACACATAATATCATATTCTATAAGTTGAGTCAAGTGATAAAAAAAAAATTAGCCTAATTAAGAGACTAATTTGTAACTGTACACATAAAAAATAAATTCGTTTTATTTTTAAAAATGGGTCTTTTGGGAGAACCCACTTTTACGTAGTACTTTGTAAGATACTACTGACTAAACTTTCCTTGTTGAATTACACTTAGGAGTTCATGACCATTCACTCCTCTCTTTGTAAGCACATCAGCAAGCTGCTCACTCCCTGGAATCCACTGAACAGTTTTTACTTCACCTCTCTCTAACATCTGCTTGATTGCACCTATCTCCCTACGAAGTCGCTTATCATCTACAACTGTAGTGGACTTCACTGCATCTACAGTAGACTGATTATCAACCAGTGCGTGTATATCAATAGACTTAGAATCAAAATTAAGAACATCCTCAATCATGTCCCTAAGATGAAGAGCTGCTTCAAGTCCTTCACACAAACTTAAGGCTTCTGCTGCCAGTGTTGATCTAACTACTCTTCTAATCTTGTTTGATTGCCAGTCCAAAACAGCACATTCTTTCCTGTCAGCATTTGTAATAAATATTACAAAACCTCCAGTACTATCCACACCATCATTTAGATTCCCTAATGCAGCATCAGTGTAACAAATTATTATCCAATTATTAGGATTACCAAGATGTGGAATTTTGATTTCAGCTTTATTGCTTTGAAGATTTATCAGTGCTTTCCTCACTCTAATTAAGTCATCAATAGTTCCAGATCTAAACTTTGTACTTAACTCTATCATCTCAAAAGATAGATCAGGTCTTGTGGCTCTAACCACCCAATTGAGACTTCCAGTCATTCTTCTCAGATTGGATCTTTCCTCTTCAGTTAATTTAGCTGTTTTATCTGACTGTCTTTCTGGAGCTATGGGTAGAATTTCAATAGAAGATTTGGTATACTCATCTTGATTTAGCATGATGCCCTCTGCATTTTGAAGTATTCTAAAACCTGTATATTTGAAATTGCCCTTTTCATTCTTTCCCACTTGAAAAACTTTCATTACTGGTTCCAGCACATGCATGTTGAAAAACTTACTTCCTGCATGTATGAAATCATCAACATGAATTCCAACAATACCTATCAGATTTCCAAGATTGTTGTACTTGTAGAAAACACCAGGATCTAACTGTGACTGAACAAAATTGGCATTCAAGAGATTTTCTCTTACTTTGAAATACCATTTTCTGCTAGCATCTTTTAGACCATAGAGACATTTATTCAATTTCCACACAGACCCTCTAGAAACATTAGCTTCCTTTGGTGGTTTGATAAATACGTCCCTGTCAATTGCAGATCCTTGAAGAAATGCACTTTTTATGTCGGTTGTCTCCACCTGCCAACACATTCCAGCAGCAATCACCAATAACATTCTTAAAGAGCTTTTACCCAATGTTGGGGAATCCTTAGGGATATCATCTGTCTCTTCAAACCCTCTTGCTACTAGTCTTGCTCTGACTTCTGATCCCTTATTGTTGATTACCCAAGTGGTTGAGATTTTCTCTTGTCCGCAATCTTGAACAAGCTCATAAGTTTTGAAATCCTTCAGCTTTTTAAGTTCAGCTTCTTTAGCCAAAAGACACTCAGGAGTATTCTGTTCTTCTCTTGGGATGTTCACTACCATTGCATGCTCAATCTCTGGAGGTTCCACCATCTCATAATCTACAGTCTGTAGATCCACACTGTGGTCTTCTTTGCCATCCTCTCTTCTTACATTGAACCAGTTTTTGTACTTTCCAGTGCACTTTCCTCTTCCAGTGATTGTAGCATCAACCCATTGTTGACCTTCTTTAAAACGAATCCTATCATTTCTTCTCAAAAGAATTTTTCTATTATCTACTCTGCCTTGTTCAGAGCTTTCTATCACATCCTCAACTGGGGTCATCCCTGCATCTGATCTGATTGGATCGCCTACAATTTCTTGAACTGTCTCATTCAGATCTGCTTCTATTTTGTCCTCTCCCAAAGGGTACATTTCAACAGATTGCGGTACTTTATCAATTTCAAAATCTTTGCAAGAACTTTGAGATTGATCAGGATCTTTGAGAGAATCCTCTACTGACTTCTTTGCTAATTCACATCCTGCTTTTTGAATCCTGCAAGTGCTGACTCTGACAAACTGAGATCCATGTCTAACAAAGATCACTTTACCATCTTGGAACACAACCTTGCCAGGNAAAAATTTGGGCCCGATCGGTTCAGCCGTTTTGACGTTTATTGGATACAGACAAACAAACAAACAAACAAACAAACAAACAAACAAACAAACAGACAGACAAGCCAAATTTATATATAGATAGATAGAAGAATGAAAAACTTGCCGTTCGATGTCCCATTTTTTTTCTATTTTTACCCCAATATACAGTACACCCCTGGGATGAAAAATATAAAATTTCTGAGTTCAGAGCTGAAAACTTTAGAATGAGATATCCTTAATCTCGATTACTTAATCTGAGTATCCAATGGACACACTTTTGATTTTCTTCTTAAACCGTTCTTTCTTGGATATAGTAGAGAAAAATGAAAAACCGGTTTTATAAAAATAAGAGAGTCCCTCCCGTTTCTGTATATTAATCTTAAATTGCGCGCAAATTTAAAAATTTATCGGCTTCGTATACGCGACTCTGATTGGATGGATTTTATACACTTTTCAGGATACAAGTACAAGATTAGGTTAGTCTCGATATCAATAAAAAGAGAGGATCAAACATTAATCTCGATATCCACCATTCTAAAGTTTTCAGCTCAGATCTTATTTCAATATCTTTTCTTTTTAAATGGCACCTTGATTCTGCCCAAAACGGATCGTTGCTTAACTCGTCGTCCTCTGCATCGACCGCCGGATTGTAACCGCCGAAGGAGTAGATTCTACCGTTGTAATAAACAATTCTATGTCCGCTGCGAGCCTAATATATAAATAAATATTTGAAATGTGGTATATATGTTTCGGAATTGCCCCGCTAAGGTGTGGGAAAAATCATTTTCGAAGCTTTGAGGGAAAATGCAAATGGTACTTGGCATACCTTACTTAACCCCCAAAATGGCTAACAAAAGAATCCGATCTTTTGGGGTAAAGTATTTCAGAAAACATCAATCAATGCATTTTTGCACTAAGGTACAGTTACACTGAAACTTTGGTACTTATAAATAATTTTTTCATCAAGAAGTTTTCACAAAGTATTAACCAAACACAAACAAAACGAGTGGTTCAGGAAACTCAAACTTAATTGGAAACAAATGCGAGTTTTTAAAAACTTCAAGATCTCTTATTTGTTAAATATAAGTTTATTTTGCCAAACATTTCCCATTTTTAATCCGGAACCAGGACCTGGATCCACCTTCAAATGAACTTGATCATAAGCAACTGACTATTGATGAATAAAATTTTGTATTTTACCGATTAACACTTTAAAAATTAAATCAAATATTTAATATATTCCTTAGGTCTCGGTTCATTTGCTCTGGGCTCTATCTCAACCATCCTAAATCCACGAAACCTAAACAAGAATCAGAAATAAATAAATTGACATTTAAAAGCTGTAGATAATAAATCAATTATAACGTTTTTAAATGATAAATTTAGTGCGTCCAACTTGTGATTTTTAAAAATCCAGCCGCATTATGCAAAAGATGATACATTTTAAAAAATTTAAAAGTAAGTTAAAAATTAATAAATTGTGTTCAGTTGATTACACATTGTGGGTACCAAGACAAATTGTTTGGGGTAGTCAAAAGAGATAAAATAGTAATACAATCAACTGTCAATACCTGGGCGTTACTGATTTTCGTTACAAAAAAAGATTCTGTTTTACAATTTTCTTTTTAAACAGTGCAAACCTCGGGAGCATTTTAAACTAGATGAGTATGTTTTTGTGCATCATTTTTACTGTTCATAATGAGCCATTTAGAGGAGTGTTTGAATTTATTTTTATTTTATTTATTTTTGGTAGTTAAAATAATCTTAGCAGTTAATTTACAAAAAATGGAATCATCATTTATCATTTAGTAAAGTTTAAACTTAAAAGTATGTTTATATTTATCTTTTGCATGACATGGTTGAATTTATGAAAATTGAAATATGAATGCACCAAATTTACCATTTATAAAGTAATAATTGCCGGAAGACGAAAATGTTGTGGCATTGAAGACCGAACGGTTGTGGCTCATGGCTACCGAAAGACCAAAAAAATAATTTCTGGCATGGAAGGGAAGGAGGTTGTGGCTAACAGCCAGAGGCGGCTTAAGTGTGGAAAGACGGGACGCTCCCCCCCCCTGGAAATGGGGGGGGGACGTCCTTATCCCTGGATAAAAAATAGATTAAAAAAAAATTCGAGGTTTGAAAATTTTTTGCCAGGAAGAGATACAAAATTTCTTCGCGCTTCGCACGCAAAATTTAATTTATTCCTCGCCCCACTCCCCTGAAAAATATCATACGCCTTTCTGCCTCCGCTAGCTCTACTGGTACCGACCATAACCAACATTATTAAAAATCGTTCTACACTTGTCAGAAAACATTCTCCATCGTAACTATTGATTTTATGGATATGCCACCTATCCTATGTTACTCAAGAGGGCAAATTTGAATTTTTTATTTATGTTACTACTGTCAAACGTACATCCATGTGTACAATATTTTAGTACTTACTTGTACGTACGGTCAGGTTGCCCCGCTAAATGTTTTATAATAAACATTTTAATCTGAAAAAAAGTTCAAACTGTAACCTTATTTTAGTTCAGAATTTTCATTTTTAGGAAATGCAAAGAACAAATTCAAACGTGAATTAAAATGAAAAAAAGAAGTTTATTTTATTGGTCAAATTACATGTGAACATCAGAGCGCCCTCTCAGGTGTTTAAAAAATTAGATAAAAAATCTGTGGCGACTGAATACAAAATAATATGCATAACATTAAACAGAGTATTCTCCTGTACAATTCAAGGAGGACGAACGACCAACTATCTAGAAGGACTATCGACCAACTATCTAGAAGGACGAACGACCAACTATCTAGAAGGACGACCGACCAACTACTAGAAGGACACTGACCAACTATCTAGAAGGACGACCGACCAACTACTAGAAGGACACTGACCAACTATCTAGAAGGACGACTGACCAACTATCTAGAAAGACGAACAACCAACCATCTAGAAGAACGAACAGCAAACTATCAAGAAGGATGAGGAGTATGTTCCTGAACTACGCCTTGTTACTCATGTACGCGTCCATCTCCTCGTCCAGCTTCTCCTTGGATGGAGCCACGACATTCTCCTTCTTAGCTCCACGTGGTGCACTGGAGCCTCTGCCCCGCGCTCCTCCGTTGCCACGCCCTCCTCTGCTGCTGCCGCGCCGGTCACTTCCGCCGCGTCTTTGCCCGACACCGCCGCCGATCTGTCTGAAGGGGGCAGGGTAGGAGTTCTGAGCCAGTTCACGTTCTGATCCTGAACATTTAAAGGTTAAAAAACTCTGAAATTTTTTTATTTGCTAGCCAGCAAATGGAAGGAATTTATGACCGAGAGAGAAGTAGTTGAACTATACCATAGAAAGCCCGACTACGTCTCCAAATATCTAAATAACTAGCCGAAGTTTAAAGGACATATTGATCATATTCAGTTCTCTAGGCTGTCCCCTTTTTTTTTGAACGACCCCACAAGTAAAAAGTAACTAGGACCAGAGATAAGAACTTTTGAGGATCGTTAATCTTGAAGACATGATCTTGATATCCCATGTGGACACTATTAAATTTGTGGATTAATAATTGATCCCTCAATTAAAAGGATAAAACCACCACGGGATATCGAAGAGGAATTGTATCAACCAAACCAGGTCTGCACAAAATGGATATCTATGCTAACTCCCGAATTTAAGAACAATTAAGTCCAGACTTCAAGTCCTACAGAATACAGATGGACCGTTTGCAGAAAACATTCCGATCAGCCACCTTGATACTTTCTTTTCTTCCTTGGCTCTTACTTTAAATGAAGTAAAAATATCTTCCTTGGCTCTTAATTTAAATGAAGTAAAAATCTAAAAAAGGAAACAGTAAAATTCAAATAAAAAATGCGAAATGGACCGATTTAAAATTTAAAAAGAATTTTAGCTTTTAACGAATTAATACGATACATATTAAAGTAGAAGATGGGGTAGGTAATTTAAATAGTCTACATTTTATTATCCAACCTTGCTCCTCCTTTTCCCAACTCTGTGAACTTTACATAATTAAATAATACTCTCCTTAACTCTGGGTCAAAATCTTATACTCAGAAATGGGATTTAAATAAAACCCTGAAAATAAGATTTAAGTCTAATTAAAGAATTTGAGAAATTATCATAAAATGGGTAAATTGTCAATTGATAAGACAAGAATATAAAAGTGAGTTTAATATATTAGGTCCCTAGGGGGGGCATGTCTAGGGGGTACAGAGGTTTATTAGAAATGTATGCAGGAGCTTGAAAGACTTTTTAATTCCCCCCCTCCCCCTACCCCGGGAATAAATGAAAATAAACGATTTATATGATAAACGGAATAGAAACAAGGTTATTAACTCAATGCAAAAGAGCAAAAATAAATGCCGAATTATCTTCATTTTTAAATTTTAAATTCTTTAATGTTTATATGTCCAACCTGTGATCTCGATTCTCATAGGTTTCCCGTCAAGAGGTACTCCGTTGTACTGTTTCAGACCTAAGCAGTACATATTAAATGTACAGTACAAGATTTGCAAATTTTCACACTAAACATCCTGATATTTATTGACAAAAATGAAGTTTTAACAATTTTATGACAAAGAATATTTATCACTAGTTGTTGTACCAAAAGGTGAACCAGTTCCTCCATACACAATCATAAAACCTCTGAGAAAAAAATCTAAATTAACTCTTAAGTGTTCTGAATATTAAAAATTCAATGACAATTTTTATCAATTTAATTTAGCATTTAAACATATCTATTATTCATGAGTTACTAAAAATTGTTGAATAAAAAGTCTAGGTTAATCCAAGATAATATTGTATTAGTATTGTGTACTGGGTATAGGTCAGGTATACCTGTGTACTTGGTATAGGTCAGGTATACCTGTGTACTTGGTATATTCTATATGTAGGTCAGGTATACCTGTGTACTGGGTATAGGTCAGGTATACCTGTGTACTTGGTATAGGTCAGGTATACCTGTGTACTCGGTATAGGTCATGTATACCTGTGTATTTGGTATAGGTCAGGTATACCTGTGTACTTGGTATAGGTCAGGTATACTTGTGTACTTTGTATAGTACAGGTATACCTGTACTGAGTGTGCACTGAGTATATTCTATAAATAGGTCAGGTATACCTGTGTACTTGGTATAGGTCAGGTATACCTGTGCACTGAGTATATTCTATATATAGGTCAGGTATACCTGTGTACTTGGTATAGGTCAGGTATACCTGTGCTGAGTGTGCACTGAGTATATTCTAAATATAGGTCAGGTATACCTGTGGACGGGATGAATTTCTGCAGTATGACTAGCTAGTTGGTCCGGAATATCTCCCTAAAGTAAGTCTATCGTAAGACAAATGCATAAAAACTACAGACATAACATACAGAGCATCCCATATCATATTAGATTATCTCCAAGCTTTAACATAATACTCGAAAAACCTAGCATTTTTTGCAAAAATATTTTTACATTAGCCTTTTTCAATTTTCTGATTAGTCCCAAAAATTGTAATTTAGACCCATTGACGATCTAACATGACGTGGGACACCCGGTAAAACCCAACCGCCGGAGCTCTAAAACGTTATTTTTAAAGTCTTGTTTAACAGAAAAAATAACTTTTTTTAAAGAACACGATCATTGTAATGGGAAGTAATTAAAGCTGTTGGCTATCTCTTACCCTCCCCCCCTCCCCTCCCAACCTACGTGTATATGAAAAAGAGTTAGTCTTAGTTCCAGTGCTCAGGATCAATTTAATTTTGATGCGGATCCAGATCAGGAGCATTTCTTAAAGATTTTCTGAATTTTTTTTTAATAAGCAAGAATTGTCAAATTTTTTTTCGTTTATTTTTATGTTATATCTTATAATTTCTTTTTTTTTCAACAGTTCAGATTTGGGTTTTGTGAGTAAAAAGTTTATAGTTGATATTTTGCCCCTTGGATACGGATTCGTGGATTTGCATATTTTTGCGGATCCGGATCCTGGAAGCTAAAATCATACGGATCCAACGGAACCAGATCTTAAGCACTGCTTAGTTGGAAATATTCTGAAATCAACAACCTGTATTAAGATTTTTCTCCACTGTTTTGTAGCCAGGTTGAATTCCCACAACTCCTTGAATAATGGCCTGAACACATATTTTTTAATTACTCAGATCAGAAACGGACTTTCCATTTAAATTGATTATTCTTCATTGCACAACACATTAATCTATCTCATTCCACTCCTTAACAGATACACATTAATCTATCTCATTCCACTCCTTAACAAATACACATTAATCTCTCATTCCACTCCTTAACAGATACACATTAATCTATCTCATTCCACTCCTTAACAAATCATTAATCTATCTCATTCCACTCCTTAACAGATACACATTAATCTATCTCATTCCACTCCTACTAATCTTACTTCTATCTGTTGCGTCTATAAGGAGAAAATTGTTAAAGACGTCTCATACCGAATAACTTATCGGCCATACAAAATGAGAAAATTGCAACATACGACTTAGACCGTAAAAAAATCAATTTAATTTCAAACAAAACATTTAGATATTACAACCTATAGTCATCGATTATCTTTCGCCACATTTTTAATATAGTTTATATTTTATAGTATTTTTTAATTAATTTGTTTGTTTCTCTTGTCGCTTGCGCAACTATCTAAGAATGCCGCACAACACTCACAATTTTTGAAATCCGTTGAAAACGTTTTCTACAAAAATAAAATATTATAAAATATAAACTATATACAAATGTGGCGAAAGATAATCGATGACTATAGGTTTTAATATCTAAATGATTTGTTTGAAATTAAATTGATTTTTTACGGTCTTAGTAGTATGTTGCAATTTTCTCAATTTGTATGGCCGCTAAGTTATTCGGTATGCGACGTTTTTAACAATTTTCTCCTTATAGACGCAACAGATAGAAGTAAGATTAGTAGCGATCAAAAGCGTTTTTTATCGCATTAAGCCTATACCCCCTTTCATTTTTCGCGAACACTCCCTTTAACAAATACACATTAATCTATCTCTCTAGAAAAAGATGGTTCATTTGGCGTATTTCCTGACTTGTACTTTCATTATAACTTCTGGGGGAAAAAAGATTTCCAAAGAGGTGGGGGAGGGGTTTTAAGAAAACGGCCTCAAGATCTAGAAAACGGCCACGTGTCTTTACCTGTCATAGTGTACAATTGCCATCTTAATATTCCCGAACTCCGAGAACAGTTCGTACAGATCTCCTTCACTAACTCCATAGTCCAGGTTAGAGATCAATAGCTTACCAGGTCCTAGAAAAATAGAGATACAAGATAGATAGGTTTATAGAGACAGATATATGTTTAGATAGATGTATGTTTAGATAGGGAGATAGAGATAGATATATGGTTAGATATATAGATATAGATAGATATATGTTTAAACAGATGTGTGTTTAGATAGGTAAAAGGAGGGTGATATATGTTTAGATATGTAAATGTAGATATATATATATTTAGATAGGTAGATAGTGAGAGATATATGTTTAGATAGATAGATGGAGAGATAAATATGTTTAGATAGGTAGATATAGGTATATAGAGAGAGATATATGTTAAGATTGNGGGGGGGGGGTAAGACTGTAGTACCTGATGTGGTGACCGGAAGGGATCGTCTTGCATCATATCCTCCTCCTCCAAAGTTGTTTCCTCGTGGAGGAAAACTGGATCGTCGACCTGATAAATAGATCGTTTTCAGAGCTGAAAACTTTAGAAGATTTGAAGGGTACCGATCATTTAAGTTATGACAGCATTCTAGTTAAATCTTCACTCGAAGGATTTTAAGTTTAATCATATGAGTAACTTTTGCCAAAAAATAAGCTTTAAAAATCCAAACTAAGCGAAGTTCGTAATCATTAAAAAAGTTAAAAGGGCCCTGACGAGAGAAGATTTGAATATGAAGCTATTATCAGGGTGGCCAAAACTTTTTTTGAAAAAATCCGTACAAAATTCCGTACATTTTCAGAAGAAATCCGTACAATCCGTACAATTTTCGAAAAAAAATCCGTACAATCCGCACAATTTTCGAAAAAAAATCCGTACAATCCGTACATATTTTTGAAAAAATCCGTACATTTTTTAAAAAAATCCGTACAATTTTCGAAAAAATCCGTACAATCAGTACAATTTTCGAAAAAAATCCCTGCAATCCGTACATTTCAGAAAAATAAAACCATTTTTGAAAATATTATNAGAGTACCAGAGAACCAGAGAACTAGAAAACTAGAAAACTAGAAAACTAGAAAACTAGAGAACTAGAGAAATAGAGAACTAGAGAACTAGAGAACTAGAGAACTAGAGAACTAGAGAACTAGAGAACTAGAGAACTGGAGAACTAGAGAACCAGAGAACAAGAGAACAAGAGAACTAATGAACTAGATAATAGAGAACTAGAGAACCAGAGAACCAGAGAACCAGAGAACCAGAGAACCAGAGAACTAGAGAACTAGATAATAGAGAACTAGAGAACTAGAGAACTAGAGAACTAGAGAACCAGATAACCAGATAACCAGAGAACCAGAGAACCAGACAACTAAAGAACCAGAGAACCATAGAACCAGAGTACCAGAGAACCAGAGGACCAGAGAACCAGAGAACTAGAGAACTAAAGAGCGTTGATTCTAGTTTTTAAAACTGTTTAGATCGGTGAGTAGGCCATTTAACAATCAAACAATAAAGTTATAATTAGAAAGAGTGGAGTGTAGATTTAGGATCTAATATAATTAAAAATAGCGTGGTACAGGGGTTGCATACTCAATTAAAAGAAATTTAATATTAAACTAAAAATTAAAAGATTTACAGATAAACGGTGGAAACTTGAGAGGATGTTCTCAGACCTGATAAAGAGGCAGATAGATAGATAGATAGATAAACAGACAGACAGATAGATGGACAGAGAAACAGATAGACACATACACATATAGATAAACAGAGAGACAGATAGGATATATAAACAGATAGATAAAAAGATAGATAAACTGACATGCAGATAGATATACAGAAGGATAGACAGATAGCTAGATAGATAGCTAGACAGATAGCTAGACATATAGCTAGACATATAGCTAGACATATAGCTAGACAGATAGCTAGACAGATAGCTAGACAGTTAGCTAGACAGATAGCAAGACAGATAGACAGATAGATAAACATATTCTCAAATGAACACTTCTGGAACATATTCTCAAATGAACACTTCTGGGATCTCGAAAATTATGAATGAATTTTGATTGTCACTCAATTGAAACATTATACAATTTAATATTATTTAGAATGCAGAAAAGAAATTAAACTAACTTCATTTTAACGAGATTTATTTTTTGAAATTTTCATGAAAAATTTGCTGAAATGAGTGAAAATTAAAAAAAAAACGGGGTATTTCCAGGATAAAAATCCGTACAATTTGAAGAAAAAAATCCGTACATCCGTACAATCCGTACATTCCGTACAATTTTAGGGTTACAAAATAAAAAATCCGTACAATCCGTACATTTTGGCCGCCCTGTATTATTGTTCCCGAATTTACTCAACAAAAAAATTAGAATAATTCTTGGAATTATTTTCTTCAATGTAAATGAAAATAAATTGGCAGTTAATCAGGCGACTTTACATATGTCATTTTTTAATGCTCAAAAAAGGTAGACCCAATTTTGAAATGGCAGGACTAGGGCTATTTAGTGTTTATCGTTTCATCAATCATATTTGTAAAATTTGATTGTAAAGTCGTCTGATAAATTGTAAATTAATTCCGTGTCTTTCTGATTAGAACTGTAATTTACTTTTATTTTTAATAATGATTTGTGAACGAGCTTTTTATAAACAAAAAAAATTTTTATCAAGACCAGTACAAAAACTTTTCATATTATTACAAATTATACATTAAAATTATTTAATATTTTGGCTCAATCTTTCATTGAAGACCAAAATTATAGTGTCATAAAGTTATTTCAACTTTTTATAGTGAAAGAATCCTCATTCAGCGGTAAAATGCCGAACACATAATTTTCGAGTCTGTCATAGAGAATGATTTTTGGACCCCCCTCCATCCAAACAATTTTGTACATGACCTAGATTTCAACTAGTATCCTTTCAGGGTCAGTGGCTGCGGCTAGGGGGTCGAGCTCCCTAGGGGGCCGGGCGCTGCGGTCACATGACCAATTTAATCCTAGGGTTAATATGAGATGCATGTATAAAATTGATAGGAGGGGCCGGAGGGGGGGTCCAAAATCGTTTTCAGGAAATAACCGAATTTTATTTATTACCTGGAGACTGTCCGCCGCGTGAACCTCCCCTTCCGCCCCTACCAGAGATATATCTGCCTCCTCCACCACCACGAGATGCACCGCGACTTCCGCCCCGGGATTTCCTATTAGCCAACATACGTCACAATTATCTCATTTTTAGTTCGAGGTTGAATTTTTATTGTCTAATTTATAGAATTGATTTAAATTGAGATGATAATTTATCTTTAACATTGAAAAATAAATTTTCTCTTCAATTTACTTTTGACCAAAAATAAAAAATTTGCGGAAAAAAAGAAAAAGTTTTATGTTGTTGCAAAATTGAAGTGAAGGGAAGATAAAATTGAATTGAGGTAAAAATGGAGAAAGGAAGGGGGTGAAAATATAATCTCATAAAAATCAACAGATCATTCATTGACCAGACATTTCATGAAATTAATATTTTTATGGTCAGAAGGGTCAGAAATATGACCCAATCATTCTCTGGGCAGCAGTATAATTTAGAATTATGTTAACATTGCTTCCTGTCAGGATTTATATTAATTTCAGATATTTTCAAATATTGTGAAGTTTTCCTGTCGTTAGCGATAATATCATCTAGACTCATATCAACTTTGTCGCCCATTGTGCCTCTAGATGGAGTTGAAAAATATCTGAAAAAACGAGGTTATCAATACTTTTTATTCACTTCTTGGTTTTCTTTTAGGGCATTTTATTGAGGGTCATCTTTAAACGTATCACTGCACCGTTTAAGTTTCATTTCCGGGTCTGTCCTGGAGAACGATTTTTGGACCCCCACCCCACCTAATAATTTTGTGCATGACCACTTTTTGGTATATTCAGGTTAGGACAATTTCTAGGCCGAGCGCTACGGCTAGGACAGGCTAGGGGGCCGAGCTCTGCGGATAGGACAGGCTAGGGGGCCGAGCGTCGCGGCTAGGAAAGGCTAGGGGGCCGAGCGCTGCGGCTAGGACAGGCAAGGGGGGCGAGCGCTGCGGCCACATGACCAATAAAAGCCATGTCAAAATTCGTTCTCTAGGATATTACCTGGTTTCCTTTTTAAGCTTGCAGAATCTTTGCCGGTTCTGTCCTAGTGAACGATTTTTGGACTCCCTCCGCCCAGGTCCGCCCTTCCCTCCTATCAATTTGTACATTACGAAATTAGTAAATTAGTACTTATTTATTATTATTTAGGTTAGGGTTAGGTTAAGACACTTTCTGGGCCGAGCGCTGCGGCCACGGTTTAGGTTAATTAAGACACTTTCTGGGCTGAGCGCTGCGGCTAGGACAGGGTAGGGGGCCAAGCGCTGCGGCCACGGGTTAGGTTAAGTTAAGACACTTTCTGTAGGATCCATGTACAAAATTAATAGGAGGGGGTGGGCCCAAAAATCGTTTTCTAGGAATATACCTCTTTCCCTAACTTCTTTTTTAATTTCCCAGGTGAGTAGGATAGGAAATTTCTCTTTGTGAATAAAACTTTAATCTATTGCACAAAATACAACTTTTTTTTTAAATCTGAATTTAATTAATTCACAGTCATTAAAAAAATTTTAATGATAAATATTAAGTTTTTGAGTAATAAATGAATAATTTAAGTTTTAACAATTTACCGTACTCGTTTTCGCCGATATATATTTGTGTAAAATGCAGCGGCACACTTCACAAAATTGTTCCTCACCGCTTTAATAGTCGTCTTTGTACATGGCGGGAAATTCAAAATCTAAAAAAGGAAATCTATCAAACGGATATTCAGTATGACCCCATCTGATATGAAATTTAAAAAAAATCTATCAAACAAATTTTTTTTAGTTACAGGAAAATGCCTTAAAAAGAAGGGGTGGGGGGGGGCTAGGGTGTATTCTATGCTGTTTCATATAAATGCCTTATAATATTCAGTTGCAATAACCTACATTTACGTTTACATAACGAATGCAGAATGAAAGATATTGGTTGTATAATCTACTATGAAGGAGTAGAATTTTGCAGATTTAACCTCATTCAGAATAGATTTTAGGACAAAGCAATAATTTATTCAAGCAATAATTTTACTTTATCAAAAAGTAGTTAATGTTTTCAGCCCCCTCATTGAACACGGTAAAGCTTGATTTGTGTTCATTTGCACTAATTTTCAATCGTAATACAATAATCAGCTGACATTAGTGCAAATGTACTTTAGTTCAATTCGACATTAGTGCAAACGATATAGCATTAAAAAAAAATTTTAAAAACATTAACACCACGGGCCAGGCCCGTAGACTCCTATAGACATGGGCGGGCTGCCGGCTGGGGGGTGCAAGCTCAGGTGCACCCCCCTCCCCTTTCTTTTTTAAGTGGATTGTAATTAGTTAGAAAGCAGTTGAGGTGTGAACATCCCTCTCTCTGAGAGAAAGCATGCAAAATGCTTGCATAATGTATTAAGGATATTTTTTTCAGCTTGGGTGCAATTTTTTTTAAGCTGGCAAAAAATATTTTTGGGATCGAGAAAATTCGCTTTTTTTGGAACTTTACGGACCCCCTAAGGACTTCTTGCCCCCCCCCCCCATCTACAGGGGGGCAAATCTTCAGAAAGGGGGGGGGCTTGCTCCCTGCTTAATCAGGCTTTGGGGTGCCCCCCACCATATAGTTACGCGCCTGGAAGTAATCACTTCTTAATTACACTCTCTTAGTTGTTCTTTCATAAATGATTCACACAATTACATGTACAATATATATAGAATATAAAAAATTCAATTCTCTTGTCTTTTTCAGAATTTTATTTTAGTTTCAATATTTTGTAGACATATTGTATGTACAGAGCTGAAAACTTTAGAATGGTGGATATCGGGATTAAGGCTTAATCCACTCTTTTTCTTAATCTCGAGATTAAATATGGCTTGTTCTCCCCTCATTTTTAATCTCCAGATTAATTATCAGAGCAAGATTAAGGATATCCCATTCTAAAGTTTTCACCTCAGAAAACATAAGTATAAGTTTTACTTAAAACTAATGTAAAATTAGGAATAAGATGGTATACGTATCAATGTAACCTGGAATATTCACGTTCTCACAGATTTTAGCCAAAAAAAACTCAACTAAAACTACAGAAGCGCTTTGCAGCATTGAACTCTTTATATCCAAGGCTACACAAAAGTATAAATAGGTTGGTAAGGCAAAGATCTTTTACCTCCCTACAACTTTTCTCTGACAGTGAAAAGGAAAATATCGCAAAAATTATATATTTTTATTACGAATATAGGGTAGAAAAAGGGAACATGAACAGTTTCCTAGAAAATTATATAATTCATGATTATCGTTTGAATCAGCCAACACATTTCACATGCAGATCATAATCCTGAAATCAAATCAATAAAATAAACCATTTTTGTACAAAATACCATAGATATGGATTAAATGTTCTTTTTACTAAGTTTAATTGACGTACATTACATGTTATTTTGTTCCATATTTTGAGCAAGTAAACAGTAAACAACCATTTCACGTGTTGAACCTTAATTTCAGAATTTGGGGGATTTCAAGGTCTCCATGACTTTATTTTTAGTAATTTACTGGAAACATTTTTTTAATATTGTCTTTCTGAGTTTTGCGAAAATCCGGAAAAAAATATTCAGAATTTTGGTAAGATTTTAATCTGTTAAAAATGGTATTATTTTCACTTTTTCGCAGAGAAACCCCTTTACGATAAATATACATTAAAAGTCCTTATAATTGATTCATTGAATTATTGAATTTATGAAAAATTATTGGACTTATAAAATATTTTTTTTTTGCTTAATAAAAATATAAATTGATTTCTTTCCTTGAGCCAAACTTCATATTCGCCTCTTTTACTCTGGAGGTACTCCCAACCAACCTACAGACAACACAGGGAATATTTTAAAATAATGCATTTCAACATCATGCAACGGACCCATCAATAGGGATAACAAACGTTTAATGTTAATTAGAATTTAGGTTATTTGTCATTTCCAAAGTTTATTCTCGATAAGTTTGCTTTTATTACATTCTGCACAATTTAGCAAAGTTATTAACTAAAACGATTTTTCGAAACGATTGATCGTTTTGATTAATATATTTGGGTGCAGGGTAAAAGTTCTCCAAAATGTTAAAAAAAAACAATCTTATATAGCATGCACTTTTGAAATAGCATTTACATCTTAGATACTTCGTACATGCCTGTTAAAATTCTAAAAATTTTGAATGTTTAAAACGGACCTCAAAACGACGCGTGACCCATTAACCGATAGAATAGATTATATTTAAGCAATCTTATGTGCATTTGATGTTGATAAGGCAAATCGTTTTATAAGTAGTTTGAAAATCAATATATATAACACTGAAATGGTTTCATGTACTGTGCTTTACTGTATAGCTGTATTGTACTGTGATTTAATGTACCGTACTATACTGTGCTTTACTGTACTGTATTGTACTGTGATTTACAGTACTTTACTGTGCTTTACTGTATTGTATTGCACTGTGATTTACTGTACTGAACTGTACTGTGAATTACTGTAATGTTCTATGCTTTGCTGTGCTGTACTGTACTGTGCTTTGCTGTACTGTACTGTACTGTGCTTTAATATATTGTATATAGTACTGTACAGTGTACACATTAGCTGGTTTTAAATGATTAAAAATCCAGTAAATAATCTTTCCTGCTGTTGTTATGAAAAATATTTAAACCATTTTGTAGTTATTAGTTATCAATTAGCAAAACTAAAACAAATATTGCACGAAAAGATAAAATAAAAAAATTTTTTTAAAAATATTCCTTTTCCATCGGTAAGGGTTCCTCATCTTCATAATAATCTGAGGGCGATTCATCTCTGAAAGTACAAAATTTTAACTAATCTGCATTTATGCATGAGTTGACGGTTTAAAAACCATGTTTACAGTTTTGGGCAATTTTATATCCTGAGCCAAATCGATGCAGTGCAGTGATAATTCTGTATTTTAAGAAGACAGTTTAAGAAGATAATTACGGTATTTCTGCAAGATGTCCTATATTATATTGGATGCGTATCTTGCACAGAAAGTTATTAAAGATTTATTTGTTGTAATCTATAGTAATATCAAGGTCTAATTAATGTTAAATCATATCAGAAATTTATTAAATATTTATTTGTTGTAATCTATAGTAATATCAAGGTCTAATTAATGTTTAATCATATCAGAAATTTATTAAATATTTATTTGTTGTAATCTATAGTAATATCAAGGTCTAATTAATGTTTAATCATATCAGAAAATTATTAAAGATTTATTTGTAGTAATCTATAGTAATATCAAGGTCTAATTAATGTTTAATCATATCAGAAAGTTATTAAAGATTTATTTGTTGTAATCTATAGTAATATCAAGGTGTAGTTAATGTTAAAACATATCAGAAAATTATTAAAGATTTATTTGTTGTAATCTATAGTAATATCAAGGTGTAGTTAATGTTAAAACATATCAGAAATTTATTAAAGATTTATTTGTAGTAATCTATAGTAATATCAAGGTCTAATTAATGTTTAATCATATCAGAAATTTATTAAAGATTTATTTGTAGTAATCTATAGTAATATCAAGGTGTAGTTAATGTTAAAACATATCAGAAAATTATTAAATATTTATTTGTTGTAATCTATAGTAATATCAAGGTGTAGTTAATGTTAAAACATATCAGATTTTATCATTTTGTTTCAATTTTTTCGGGGCAAAATTTGTGAAAAAGCCTAGGAAAAAATAAAGAAGTTTTTGAAAGTTATTAATTCATTTATGGGCAACGTTTAAATATTATTTTACCTCGGATAAAACGGGCACTCTGGCAAATCTTCAGAATCAAGAAGATTCAACCTGGAGAAAAATATTATCGCTTTTTGATTATTTTGAATAATATAGCTTAGAATAAAAACAAATTCTAACTTCAAATTGTCCTCCATTGGAACGCCCGATTAACAACAATACCCTTTAAACCTTCATCTAAGCAAGATTGACATTTTGTTTTGTTGTAATTTCTCTTTAAAAGTGACTAGCGAATTTATGCAGTAAAAAGAAGGACTACAAAATTGATATAACTACAGGTCAATTCACGTTTAAAAAGCGAGAATACCTTTCTCATTGTTTCTCAAATAATGATGTAAACTAAAAAGAGACACGGTAGAGAATACATATTCTCTACTCTGTGCATAAGGTACTATTGTGGATCGGGCATTCATATTGGATGCCACTTGAAATAACATGTACAGTCCCTTTAATGCCACTTGAAATAACATATACATTCTCTTTAATGCCTCTTGAAATAACATATACAGTCCCTTTAATTCCACTTGAAATAACATGTACAGTCCCTTTAATGCCACTTGAAATAACATGTACAGTCCCTTTAATGCCACTTGAATTAACATGTACAGTCCCTTTAATGAAGGAAAGAATAGATTCCAAAATATTAAAAAAGTTTAATATCTTTAAAGACCTGAGCGACCAAGTACTTGTTGTGGAGCCCATAAACCAAACTCGACCCTGCCAAATATTTCATTTCAAACTTTTTTGTCTTTTTAAACATTTTTTCTCTCAACAGGAAGATTACAATTTTATCAGGGACCCAATTTTATTTAATTTTCACAAAAAACACAGAGATTATTAGTTTTTACTGTAGCTAAATGATTTTTGAATACTTTTAAAAGAATCTTCACAGTTTTTGGAAAAAAAGAATATACATTAGATTTTGAATGGTTTAAAATTTAGTCAATTGAGTTTTGATAAATCTTTCTGTTAGCCTGGTTTTTCTTAATATGGACAAGCCTTCAGTCATTATAGGCTATGCAGAGTACAGCTTTGAGGGGGAGGGGGGGAAATGACATCATGTGCCCCCCCCATAGAAGTAAAAAGATGCAATACGTGTTTATAGGCAAAGTTTTTAAAGCTAGTCCATTTTTTCGAAAATTTTAAGTTTTAACTGAAAGCATAATGTGAAGGAAAGGTTTTTACCGCCTTTTGACCAACATTACCGACCTATGATTACCCCAACTGATTAAGTTACTTAACGTCCCTTGGGACATTTCTGTAAAATAACCACCCGTTCTGCAAAGTTTTCGGGGAAAAATCTCGCAGTTTCATCTCAAAAGACGATAAAATTGTGTACAACTACTTTTTTTTGGAAATTAAAAATTTTACTTAACCACGGGTTCCCTCGACAGATTTTGTCTACAAAACATACCTCGCTGCGCTCTGGATGTTTTGTAGACAAAATTGGTCTTGGGAACCCTTGGTAAAGTAAAATTCCCTCAACTTCCCTGTAAAGTAGTAAAACACCCAAATTCTTGCGCTACACATTACTATTTCTTTAAAGTTAAGATGTTTCATTTTGTGATCGTTTAAAAATGAAGGTGCTGTGGGTATATAGCCTCTACCCCCTCTCCAGAGCTTTTTGTTTGTTTTGTTTATAAGATTAAACAACCCAAAGTTTATCCTAGTACTCCATGTGTAAAAATGTCGATGGCTCCCTTTAAAATTGTTAAAATCCTACTTGAATATCATGAGAGTAAAGATATGAAGGGGAGCCCGTAGATATTTTACCATAAACAGGAGACAGGTATCCCTAAATATATATTTTTATGATAAAGATTATAAAAGATGGCTTTAGTTAATGTAAAAGAAAAAGAATAAACATTATAGTTTTATACTAATGTTAAAGTCCTCCAATGTTTTTTCTCCTTATAAATCTTATCAAACGTCTTTTTTCAATCAAAGCTTATTGGAATAATGAAAAGGAATTGAGCGCCAAGACTGCAAAGAAAACATTTCCCTATATTAACTCCAGTATCTGCAAACTATAATATTGGAAAACTAAAACACAATTTTTCGATTTTGTTTTACTTTTACCCAATGTTTAAAGACATTCTTCGATAGTTATCTTTCTGCAGGTTTAAACTATGCACCCCATATGGAAAACAGAAGCCAAAACCTGAAAGTGAGATTTTTATTCTAAATAGGAGTTCCGCGCAGGCAGCGTTGAATTACAAGACAGAGAGACAGCATGCGCGTAACTCCTTTGGGCTTCTACCTCAGAGTTATTAATGTAAGCGAAAAATTTTGAACAGACGACATCTAGTGTTCTATCTGAAATATTATTAATCTATGGCTAATTCATAATCACCTCTTTATTTTTTCCTTCCAATCTGACATATTCTCCTAGACGATCTGGATGATACTCCAACACCTAGAGATGGTTTTATGCTTTATTTTAAAGGAACTGTTCACGTAAATTCAAATGCCACTCATTTTATAGAATGACCACTCTTGTATGCCGAGTCCATTAGCGCCTGATCCAATCAGGGTTCAGTCATGTGTTTGTTGTCTATTCTGAACAAATAAAAATAGTATGGCGGTAACATCTATCTTTCTATCTATCTTATTATCCAATGAGAGTTATGAATCCTTTAATCGGCGCTATCAGTATAAATTGAAATATTTACTTATATTGAAACTATAGTGTCACATGTCCGAGTCCCCTTTAAATCTTTAAATGATCCTCAACGGCTGAAAAATGAGATAACTTTTTACTAAACAATGGTGGTTGTGATCTCATAAAGGATTAAAGGGTACCGTTGAGAATCGATGCATGCTACAAATGATGGGTAACTTGAACTCAAGTCAAGATTTGTGTTACTCCAAGTTGGTTAGATATGGTTTACATAATTACAAATTGTTTTTTCTATAAGTTTGCCAGCTTTCATAGTATTGTGCACAATTTAACAAAAAAAAAACAATATGGACGTAATTTTTTCTTAACTGTTTAATGTTTTTAAAAAGTTATAATTAATTTGATTAAAATATATTTTTTTTGTTTAATAAGAAATGAAATTGCCCATACTCGACCATTGCTGGTAACATTGAGCTTATTACACCCACAATCAAATTCTGGCCACTTTTCTTCGTCATAACAGGATACTCGGATCTGAAAGTAGAAGATGAAAAGAGAACAACTCATCTTTAAAAAAATAAGCTAAACACTAAAGAGAAAAAATGCTACTTTTAACAGTTTTTTTCATAGAGGGTTATTTATCATTTACAATATATTGCTCTAGGTTGACGGAAATAAATGTCGACGGGTCGCTGCAAAAGAACCGTCTTAAACACATTGCAAACCAAGAAATGCTCTTACTCAAAAATCGAGCAGTATTTTTCCTATGCCTTCTTTTAATTTAAAGCTACAAGCAATTACAAATGTATAAGCATAGGGCTATAAAAAAGTATAAGTGAGTTGGCGAGGTAAAACCCAAGGTTTTATGACACTTTAAAGAAAACTAAAGCATAATTGAAAGCACTAGTTCTAAAGTCACTTTTGTTCAATTTCTGTCGCAAAAAAATGCGTCACGACTTGTGGACTAACCCACTTAATACTAAATACAATATATATATTCGTAATTATCTTTTACAGGCGTCACATAGATCAAAGCACAGTGACGAAAAGATTTCAAGTTCTTACGCAAAAAAGAGAGAATTTTTCAGACGACTTTAAATCTATCTCTGGCAACTGTAAATGCTTAAAAAATGCGAACCACATTTTGGAAATGGAAGGACTAGGGTTATTTGTGTGATTATCGATCATAAATCATATTTGTAAAATTAGATTGTAAAGTCGTCTGAGTAAGTGAAGACGACCTTCGTTATTTTTTTAATCGGTCAAAAAATTATTTCGTTCGTTTTCTTACTAAACGATCAATCAGTAAAATCGTTCGTTCAATAAATTTGTTTGTTCAATAAAAAATATCTTGTTATAATAAAAATTTCAAAAAAATCGTTCGTTGAATTAAAAACAATGCCCATCTCTAACGTCAACTACTTACAGTGTTATCCTCTACCCAGGGATTCCCTATTGTGCTCCACATATTCTCTCTATTCTGATCATAGAAATAAGACTGGGACCTACATTACAAATATTAGATGCAGTGGAATGCACACATTTTCAAGCTGCAATTAAAAATGTACTCATTGCGCCATATTGGCTCGGGTCCCATAGCAAATTGAAACCTATGCACAGCGAGGCTTATAAAACATAAAACATGATTTTTGGAAACCCCTACATTATATTTATAATCTATTAGCTGAAGTGCCAGGCGTTGCCCGTGGATTTTTAAATAATCGAATTTTTTTAAAAAATGTTGATTTTTGAAGAAAAAAATTTAGAATTTTTGAGAAAAAAACTCAAATTTTGAGAAAAAAAATTTGTTAAGCCTTTGTTACCCCCGGGGTGAAAAAAATTAAGCCCATTCGGTCCAGCCGTTTGGCCAGCTAAAACTAACATATATACAAGTTTGGCCAGCTATAACTAACATATATACAAATATATACGTGCGAAGCGCATTTATTATATAGATAGAAGAATTTAGTTTTTCTGTAAAAAGTCATTTCAAATAACGCATTGGTGTTATACCTGAACCATTTGATATGCCAAGGACATTTTTTTGCAGGATTGTACGGTCTTATCATGATTCCACCGTGGGCCTAAATTGGACAAAACAATTCAATAATTTGTTAGTTTTGATCATTTTACAAATGTGGACAAATTTGGCGGGCAAAACATTCCTTGTTAACTAGATAAAATGGAGGTCAATTTTTAAAGAATTTTTACAACCTAAAATGCTTCAAAAAATCTTTTTTAATGTTAGAAGTTGAAAGTACTATAAGTGACACATTCAATTTAACAATGGGTTCCTGTAAAGCTTTGTCTTAGCAAAAATAATGAAAATATAATCGTTTTTCTATAAAAAATGACATTATTACAATCACTGTTCTTCGGATAAAGATGACTTGAAATCATGTCTGCACTATACAGTTCCTTTAATAAACGATAACGCTTGCCAGGGATACGAATTAAAAAGAATATATTCTGAAATACAGTGATAACCAGAAAACTCTGGAATAGGAGGACGACTACTAGAATCAAGTCACAGCTTAAGTCCAATGAGCATTAGAGATAGTAACCATACAGTGTAAACACTAAACAGACCCATTTTACTAAATTAGTGATTTAATAACAAACAATTTGCTTTGTAACAACATCAATCACACTAAAATAATTGCAACACTGTAGTCATCCTACTCCATTCTTTTCTGGTAATCACTGTATTATAGATTACCACGCCATGATCTTTGCCAATAATCCATCGCTCATATTGTTGCCAGTAATCCCACTGCCCGAGCTCCAGTAGGTAGAATAGATACTAGAATATTGTTAAAGTAAGCGTAATATCAAATATCCCTATTTACTGAGGTACCCTTCAAACCTTAACAGATCAAGATGATGGAAACTCCGTATATATTTACATTCACAAATCGAGTTAAAAGGCAAGGTTATAATGCAAGGAAAGTTAATTGCAGTTGCGTGCCGTATACTCTACGTACATGTTGAAACCAGTTCTCTCTGGGCGGAATTTGTGAACAAGAATAGATGCATCAGTGTTCGTTTAGTATCCGAGGTGGTTAAAAGCATTAAATTTTGATAATTTTGATAATTCACATAATAGTGTCCTATGGCCAGAATATTTCATTGATTTTTTTATGTGAAAAATGGAACCCATGACATCCGTCTTGTGTTTACATTACCGCCCAGAGACAGTACACTGCAGTACAAAAGATGCATACACCTCTGAAATAACTTACCTTGCATTATTACCTTGGTTAAAGGCCAAGTTTTTTCTTTTCAATTTATTTATAATTATATTTTGAAAGTAACAAAATTAAAAAAAATTTTATTGCAAACGAAATACAGAGTGCTCCATCATTCTTTGCATGGAAATCCACTTGAAATTACGCGTACAGTCCCTTTAATTTTTGGTGTTCCCTTGACATTCTTTTTGTCATCCAACTTAATCCAATTTGTGAATAAAACGTCAAAATGTTAACATAGTTTCAATAGTTAAATATACAATTAAATCTGTTGAAAATTAACAAAAGTAAAAACTAATGAATAGTTTTGAATGAATACAATGAGATTAGAATTTGTGAGAGTATACTTTAAACGAATTTAACTTGAGAATTAGATATAGTCTATGTACGGTTCTCAGATAGATCCCAATAAGAACCAGAAAACTCTCAAATAGGAAGACGACTTTTAATCTTGATTTAAATAGTTCCATGAACATCAGACCAGTAATTGTGCAGTGTAAACAGACAAATTTCACCAAATAAGTGATTCAATAAGTTGCCATTAAATTTATTAGCTTGGTAAAAACTTGATTTAAAGTCGTCTTTCTATTCCACAGTTCAGCAATGCTTTTCCACATTTTATGGGCAACATTCTTCAACTTTTACGGTCCATAAACCTTCCCTTGGGTCATGTGAGTTGCCGTAGCAAATGTTGAAGTTTAACCGTTCATTGCATACAAACAAACAGACAGACACCCAAGCGAAGTATAGGGTTACCGACAAGGGATGAGACTTCAGAATTGATTGTACGAAATTTGTTTAGTCCGTTTCTCAAGCTTCAAACCGTTATATTTTTTAGAGTTTTGGGTTGTCTTTATGGTCTCGTTCTTTTGTGGGCAACCCTGTCTGTATACAAGAGATAAAAATTATTGATCAAAGACGACTTTCTTGTACCTGGCCGTCAGCTGGTCTATAGAAGCTTGGATACTTATTCTCTGCTGTCAATCCGAACAAGAAATACAATCCAAATCTTGAAAAAATATTTTATGATTTCAGTTGATATTGAATATTAGGAAGTACCAACCTTGATGGTTGTTTGACAGCTGAATATCCCTCACTATACACTACAATCTGGACAAAAAAAATCTGATTAAAAAATAATTCTAAAAAAATAAATTGATTTTAAAAACAACCTTTCACATTATCCAGAATTGTTAACACATTTTGATTTTTTTTGCAAATAAAACTTTGGGATTTATAAATATAATTTTGTTATCAAAAATATTCGAAGAATTTAACAAACTTAAAATAGAAAATAATCCAACCTTTGTACAATTCCATTTACCTTCCCCGCCACACAGCTCCTCTATAAAAAAGATAGATAGTAATAAAAGAGAAATGAGTGAGCATCAGAATTGATTTTTTATGAATTTAAGGTTCTCCACGACACCATTTATTCTTCGTAATTTAAAATTCAAATTTAATTTTTTGAATTGATGTATTTAAAAAAAGTTAGACATTTTTCCTTTGTCAAATTTTAAATTTTGATGTTCTATATGACCTTTCTTGTGGACTGTGGTTATGTTAGTTGCTACGGAAAATTGTGACCCGATGGGTTCAGCCGTTTTTAAGTTATTAGATACAGACAAACAAACAGACAAGCAAAGAATATAGATAGACGATACCTGAGATTCAAGTTAATTAGTAACAAGAAGTGGGATTAAGAGGTGATATACTTGTCTAGTTTGGCTAAAAGTACACTCACACAAGTCCAACCGTTCGAACCGAACAAATCGAACCGAAAAATCTGAACATCGCACTCTGCAGCATGTAAATGCACAAAATATAGGCTTGCTGGAATAATGTGCACCTTAGAAGTAGAAGTAGTTCAACTAGCCATATCTAGTTCAACTACTTCGACTAGATCAATTAGCCCTATTTAGTTCAATTAATTCTCGAGGGCGATTTAGTTTGAATCTCAACACTCTAGAAAAATGCTAGACAAGAAATCGCACTGTATTTCCGCCGACTAAAACTAAACTTTCCGACAAACTAGCCAAACTATTGCCAAACTATAGCCAAGCTATAGCCTAACTATAGCCAAACTATAGCCAGACTTCCAGCAGTTTATCGTATACTGTAAAGAAACATACACTGAACTTCTAATAGATAGATACATAATCTGACAAGCATGTAAAATACCTTTTTTTACCAGAAATACTTCTGAAAAGTTCGGTTTTGGGCCGCGGGTCAACCTGCGCATTCTGGTACACTAGTGGTACGGAAAAGACTAGACCACAATCCTTGTACCGGCTCGGGCAACTTTTAAACTTCTGACTTTCCCTTAAAAATGATATTTACCAAGTATTCCATTATGCATGTTGGTAAGCACAGTCCTGGTATCTCTGAGATCATTTTGCAGCTGAGGACAGGAATCAAGACCATAGGAGTTCCCATAGTAACCATCAGTACTCTTAAACAGTAACATTTAGCATAGGAGTTCTCATAGTAGCCCTCAGTACTCTTAAACAGTAACATTTAGTATAGGAGTTCCCATAGTAACCCTCAGTACTCTTAAACAACAAATTTTAGCATAGGAGTTCTCATAGTAACCCTCAGTACTCTTAAACAGTAACATTTAGCATAGGCGTTCCCATAGTAACCCTCAGTACTCTTAAACAGTAACATTTAGCATAGGAGTTCCCAAAGTAACCCTCAGTATTCTTAAACAGTAACATTTAGCATAGGAGTTCCCATAGCAACCATCAGTAATCTTAAACAGTAATATTTATCATAGGAGTACACATAGTAACCATCTGTACTCTTTAACAGTAACATTTAGCATAGGAGTTCACATAGTAACCATCAGTACTCTTAAACAGTAACATTTAGCATAGGAGTTCACATAGTAACCATCAGTACTCTTAAACAATAACATTCAGCATAGGAGTACACATAGTAACCCTCAGTACTCTTAAACAGTAACATTTAGCATAGGAGTACACATAGTAACCATCTATAAATCTTTGCCATTGATTGTCGTTCATCTCTCCTAAAACTTGTTGAATTTTGACAACTTCTTCCAGCATAAATCCTCGAGTCACATATATTTATATACTAGAGAAACCAAGCAATTTAAGTTTGTTGTAAAGGAACAAATTGAGCGGATATGCCCAGGGAATGTTCTGCCCTCTCCCCCTTTTTTAAATAATTTTGGAATGTATGATTATTTATAAAAATATTCTCATCATATATCACATTCACCTAGGCTTTTCTTTTATCCCTGAATAGAAAAAGTGAAAAGAATGTCTGGAACGAATACTGAATTTTAACCAAGGTGATATTTTACCAAATTTATTCAAGAGAAGGATCACTGAATAATAACAATACAGATAGAACACTAAATGCAGTCTATTTAAGATCTAGGGGTTTTTCGTTCACAATAACCCTGATGCAAAAGCCCAAAGGAGTTACGCGCATGCTCTCTCTCTTTCTTGTAATTCAACGCGGCATGAGCGTATCTTCTTTGGGCTTCTGCTTCCGGGTTACTGTGAACGAAAAACTCCTAAATCTTGAAAAGACAACATCTAGTGTCTGATATGTATTGTTATTAATCTATGAGAAGGATGCTCTTTCACTCTCAACCAGAGTTTTAAAGAATGTGAAGTGTTTTTATTTAGAATTATGTAAATTTATGAACGTTGTGTAAAGGGAAATACTTACTTTAGAGACAAAACATTAGTTCCAACGTTAAAGTTTAGAAACAAAATTAGTTTTAAAGAAACCTAAACTTTCTTAAAATTTCTTTTCGGTCAAAAACGCTATTTATTTTGAGGTCTAAAAAAGATGATAATTATTATAAAGAAACGTGCCACCAAATCTGTTTTTCGAATCCTAATATCGTATATGTGTAGAACAGCTTCGATATTTAAAATTATAAAATCTGGGAGATTTACACAGAGTTTTAAAGAATGTGAAGTGTTTTTATTTAGAATTATGTAAATTTATGAACGTTGTGTAAAGGGAAATACTTACTTTAGAGACAAAACATTGGTTGTAACGTTCAAGTTGAGAAACAAAATTAGTGTTAAAGAAAGCTAAACTTTCTCCAATTTTTTTTTTCGGCCAAAAACGCTACTTATTTTGCGGTCTAAAGATGATAATTATTGTCAAGAAACTTGCCACCAAATCTGTTTTTCGAATCCTAATATCGTATATGTGTAGAACAGCTTCGATATTTCAAATTATAAAATCTGGGAGATTTACCCATCAGGTTGCAATGATTAGAATGATGCAATGATGGAAGTGTTTAATTTGAATAAATTCTCTGAATCTCAAATATTAAATTTATTTTAAATATTTCAAACCCATATTCATTGATCCAATTTGTTACAAACCTAACATTTGAAATTCCAGTTTCCGATTTGTTTGAAAATTTTAAGAGATTGAAATTCGATAAAAACTTTTTTTATCAAGTTATAAAACAGTTGATATAAGTTCAAAGTTTTGCATTGGGATTCTTTTTATTTAATGTAAAAACACAGTTTCCTGAAACAAAAAAATCATGTAAATATTATTGATGGAGCTGCTCGCCCCTCCTTCTGATAAAGATTTAAACTTGTCCTTGCTGATCTAACTAAAAGAGACTGTAAGCGTAATTTCAAGTGAACCTCCAGGCAAAAATGTTCGAAATTTCAAAGTACAGGTTACAGGTACCCTTTAAACCTTAATCTGATCAGAAATAAGCAAGAAATGCGTAAAGTAACTTTCGCAGAGAAACCGCAAATGAAAATAACTTGTAAAAGAAATTAAAACATGGATATCTAATTCATACATGATCAGACTAAGTTTTAAAGGATACCAGCTCCGGTTTTATTCCTTCTTTTACTGGATTAAAACACCCAACCAGAGAAGACAGATATAAACAGATTAAAATAATCTTAAGCCTGAATGCTTCAATTTTGATGTCTTGAGGTCGAACCTTATGAATTCTGAGAAGAAGTTGAACTTATTCTCTAATGAGTCTCGGTCACCAGTAGAAACATAGTTCAACTACCTCTCACTGTTAAATCTAGCCTCCTGCTTACAACTTAAATGTAGATGATAACATTTTCTAATTTCTATCTATGATAAATTTTACCGACAAAAATTTAACGTTTTTTTTAAACCTCGGTAAAAATTGATCTATAAGACATATTTGAAAGGGACCGTAAGAGTAAATTGACCTCCCATGCAAAGATATCAATGCCCAATTAACAATAGTACTATCGAAACCTTTTCTCATTCACTCTGATAATTTCTCTATTGTTTCTCATGAGAGAGAAATGCGATAGTCACCTTTGCAATGAAACCGCAAATGAAATCAATCAGATTAAATAAACAAAAACTTTGATATCTAGTTCATATTTAATCAGACAAAGTTGTTCAGAGTTCCGTTGTATTTCAGGTATTGTCCTTTTTGCATTGAGGGTGAATTGAAATCACACATGCAGTCTCTTTTAACGACAATATTTAACTTCTGTAATATCAAATTTATTCTGATGTTCCTCACGAAAACAACGAACGAATGAATCCCTGAACAATCCCTTAAACCCTAGAGTGTCGGGCCCTGGATAAGCCTACAGTGTCGGGCCCAGGACAAGCCTACCAGAATGGACTGGGCCGAGGTGATGTGGAGAACTAGGCCTACCACAACCAGTTGATCCACAAACATTTTAATCACAATTTCATATTCTGGATTAAAAATATCTTACTAATTAAAGCTTCAAGATAATTATGGTTTCATTTATTAATTCAATTGTTGTCTAATTTTCCATATTTTTTGGTGGGGCATTCTCACTTACAGAATATGTTCACATTTAAGATATGTTTTTGCAAATATAAATTGCGGATTTTTTCATTAATAAAATTATTTTTGGTTTTAATAACTCTTGATTTCAAGAGATATCTTTGGTTTAACAATCTTTGATTTTTATAGATATCTTTTGTACGAACTAGATTTCTCCGAGTATATTGTATAATACTGATCAGCTGTTCGCTAAGGAGTAGCTAGCCGGTCACCACACACTGAAACACACTTATACTTTATCTATACTATTCTCCTTCCTTTCTTTTCTTAAACTGTGGATAAAGCAGATATATTTCTTACAGAAATCAGCACATAGTCTAGTAGAAAGCATAGTTTTAATAGAATTCAATATAAATACAGAGTAGAATATTAGAAATTGGAATACAGAGAGGTTAATATTAGGAATTAAAATACAGAGAGGAATATTAGGAATTGAAATACAGAGAAGAATATTAGGAATTGGAATACAGAGAGGAATATTAGGCATTGGAATAGAGAGAGAAAAATATTAGGAATTGGAATACAGAGTAGAATATTAGAAATTGGAATACAGAGAGGAATATTAGGAATTGAAATACAGAGAGGAATATTAGGAATTGAAATACAGAGAGGAATATTAGGAATTGAAATACAGAGAGGAATATTAGGAATTGGAATACAGAGAGGAATATTAGGCATTGGAATACAGAGAGGAATATCAGTAATTGGAATACAGAGAGGAATATTAGGCATTGGAATACAGAGAAGAATATCAGTAATTGGAATACAGAGAGGAATATTAGGAATTGGAATACAGAGAGGAATATTAGGAATTGAAATACAGAAGAATATTAGGAATTGGAATACAGAGTAGAATATTAGGAATTGGAATACAGAGTAGAATATTAGGAATTGAAATACAGAAGAATATTAGGAATTGGAATACAGAGTAGAATATTAGAAATTGGAATTCAAAGAAGAATATTAGAATTTGGAATACAGAGAGGAATATTACAAATCGTAATACAGAGAGAAATATTAGGAATTGGAATAGCGAGAGAAATATTAGGAATTGAAAAACAAAGAGGAATATTAGAAATTGGAATACAGAGAGAAATATTAGGAATTTGAATATAGAGAGGATCATTAGGAATTAGGAAGACAGAGTTATTAGGAATATTGGAATACTGAGAGGAATTGATACCTGGAAAACAGAGATGAACAAAAGGAATTGGAATACAGAGAGAATTATTAAGAATTGGAATACAGAGAGAAAAATACTAGGAAAGGAATGCAGAGAGGAATATTAGGAATTGGAATACAGAGAGGAATATTAGGAATTATAATACAAAGAGAAGTATAAGGAGTTGGAATACAGAGAGGAATATTAGGAATTATAATACAAAGAGGAATATAAGGAATTGGAATACAGAGAGGAATATTAGGAATAGGAATACAGAGAGGAATATTAGGAATAGGAAGGCAGAGAGAAATATAAGGAATTCTAATACAAAGAGGTATATTAGGAATCGAAATACAGAGAGAAATATCAGAATTGTAATACAAATAGGAATATTAGGAATTGGAATACAGAGAGGAATATTAGGCATTGGAATACAGGCAGAGTTATTAGGAATTGGAATACTGGGAGGAATTGATACTTGGAAAACTGAGATGAATACAAGGAATTGGAATATAGAGAGAATTATAAGAATTAGAATACAGAGAGAAATGTTAGGAATTGGAATGCAGAGAGAAAAATATTGGGAATTAGAATGCAGAGAGGAATATTAGGAATTGGAATACAGACAGAAAAATATAACAAATTTGAATGCAGAGAGGATTTTTGAATTAAAATACAGAGAGAAATATTAGGAATTATAATACAAAGAGGAATATAAGTAATTGGAATACAAAGAGGAATGTAAGGAATAGGAATACAGAGAGGAATATTAGGAATAGGGATACAGAGAGGAATATGAGAAATTGATAAAACAGAGTTCTGGGTTCAGGTTTATAATCTTTACCTGGAAAAGAAACCTAATTCTAAAATATTATAAAAATGTTAAAATATGAATTAGTTTGGATTCTGGTTCTGTGAACAAGTATTTGTAGTTCTCAGAACTTCAAAAAATCTCTTTCTTCACTTCAGGATTTTCAAATTTTCAAGAATAAACTAACTTTTAAATATTTCAATGGTACAGTGAAGATAAGCAAGAAAATGAACGAGATAGGGTAAAAACCACCCATGCTTTTATAAAATAAGATAAAAATTAATCCCTTACTTTAATTTGCTGTATTTAGGACTATACGAATAATTATAGGATTTGAATCCACCGTCGGCTCCGGAGACTACATGAATAGGCCTTCATTCTTCTTTCAGTGTTCCGAGCCTACATGTGCTGCGCGCGGACTCGTCTATGCGCTCTCTTTTAGCGCGCATCACTTTAGTCAAGTCTGAGCAGATATTTATGTTCTGTTCGTATTTATAAAAAACCATATGCTGCAAGCTACTAAGAGAAATATATTTATGAATAATAATTTTTATCATATTTAGAATTTATTTGTAAAATGGTATTACAACGTTAAGTATAAAGGTTTCCAATTTTGAGCTGTAACGGCTGAACTGAACCTTTCCTCAAGTTGTTCAGAATGGTAAATCATTAAAATGGTTTTTATTATGTCATTCATAGTTCTTATTACTGTGCAGCATTTAGGGGTAGATTTATTTAAAATCTAATAAGAAAGGTAGGGAAGGTTCCACATTAATCCGAGTCCGAATTTAATGAATTTGAGCCGCATCACAAATCCGCATAAAACCGGTTTCAATTGAGCGCCGGCTAAAATCTTGAAACATTTAATACGATTTTAAGTGGAACCAACTATATTTGAGTGGCTCAAATTCTTTAATTTCGGCCTCTGGTAAACGTCGGAAACCCATATAGTTAAGTATTCTATAGCTGACTCTCAAATACTGGTTCTAAATGTTAAAATATAATAAACGTTTATAAAATGTATATTTTTTTTTACAAATGAACAATAAGAATTATCACATTTAATGTTTAGCTCATCTATGTAGTAATTATGCACATGGACATCAAGTTTGGTTTAAAGGGACTGTAAACATAATTTCAGAAGACCAGCCGGGCAAACATGGAAATTCCTGAATTTTAAGGATAAGTCCGACATCATTGATCAGTCTATGGTTTAATTATGGGTACTTCATTACATCGAACATGCCTATCTAAAAAAAATTGGGTTATTTGAAATTACGCCCACATTCCCTATAAAGCGCAAGATAAGGGAGTGCGTTCGTGTGATTGGCAAAGTGCAAATTTCGTTTTTTTCTAAATTCTTGAATTTCTGCCTCCCTTTTCACAAATATTATTATTATTATTTACAATTCATTAATTAACATCAAACAGACATGTTTGTCAAGGAAACTGGATAATGATACAGTGGTCGGCGATTATATCAATACAATGAAGACGACTTTTTTATTTCAGTTTTGTTTGTTAACAAGCTTTTTACGAACTACGAATTACGAATTAAGTTAAAAAGAAATTAAAAAGAAGCTTTTCTAATTGACAGCTTCTCTTTGTTTCCATTTTTATGTGTATCCATGCTGTTTAAAAGCTTGATATGAATCAAAATTGAAAGCTAAAGTCGTCTTCATTGTTTTGATATATGCGACGACGACTGTATATGCCACAAAATTTAATTTTAGAATCCTTATATCTTTGCAACGTGATGGCGTAAACCATAGAATATTAAAATATTTGGCGAATGTTCAGTTTCCTTAACACAAATTTACTGGGTATTAAGCAAAAAGCCCTTTATCTTTTTTATTTAAATTTTGAATCTTAAAGTTTCCAAATTATGTTATTGTACGACACTGACACATGATAACAAAAGAACTGAACACTCCCTACCTAATCCTCTAATCCGTAACTCTTTGCAACCTGATTGTGCAAATATTCATAGTTAAGAATATTCTACTACATTAGGTTGCAACGTTTTATAGGATCAGACAATTATGGATTGTGGCGAGTGTTCAGTTTCACAACAGTTATATAGTATTAAATAGTTTTTCCAATTAATTGATTCAAGATTTTTAAATTTGAAAATTATGATGATGTCAAATACTATATATATTCATAACGCCCGACGCCAGTGCATCAACCAATTTTGAATATATAATTTAAACTTTAAAAATGCAGTTGTTGGTTTTATAACACTACTCACATAGAGAAAGTTTTATGTTGTGCATTGTAAAATGCGTTTTGTATGGGCACCATGATTTGTTGTTTCTGTACGCCGTACATTGTACATGTTTTGTACATACACATCTACAATGTACAATTATCCACCTTTTTAGTAAAATCATATCACAAATGTAACAAACATCAAGAGTAATTGATACACATCAATTCATATTCACTCAGTCACATCTATTTTTTACAATAAACTTTTTCAAAATTCGTTGAAAAAAAGTAATTTTTTTTTGTTATGATTAATAGATTTTTTAAAAATATCCATAATTAATTGAGTGCTATGCTCAATGTATCGCACTATAGATCACGTTTACACGAATTTTGTCAAAAATATTAAATACATGGATTATGTCAAAAAAAGTAAATACATGGATTATGTAAAACCATTTTAGAAACCGATATCTTCAAGCAAAATTATTTTAAACCACCTTTTAAACTGTTACCGGTTGAATAATCTTTAAAACAAATATTGAAAACATCTTACATTTTAAAATATAAAATATTTCCTAAAATGAGAAAATATGTCAGAATTTAGACAAAATATTTTAAATTTCAAGGATTTCAAAGTTAACACTGGTTTGTGAAGATGGAGACAGAAAACCTCCAGTTTTTACATTAAGCTAGATGGAGGTTGGAAATTGGAGAACAGAGAGATTTATTCTGACTCCATTTTATGTTTATGATGCATTTAGGGATGTCCATGATTAGTGGAGATTTCTCCATTTTAATATTATGAAAACAATAGTTAAAATAAGGTAATTCCAAGTGAACCTCCATTAAAAAAGGGACATGCTTGATTCCCATTGGTACCCTTTAAATCTTTACTTGACCAACAAAGTGGAAGATATTGTCGTTTTTTTATGTTTTTTTATGTGGTTTCTGAAGAAAGATGGTTTCTAAAGAACTGGGGTTTCTAAAGAACTGGGGTTTCTACAGGAGTGTGGATTCTAAAGAAATGGGGTACCTAAAGGACTGTGAGTTCTAAAGAACTGTGACTTCTAGAGAACTTTGGTTTCTAAAGGACTATGGTTTCTAAAGAACTGGGGTTTCTAAAGAAATGTGATTTTTAAAGAACTTGGGTTTCTACAGAACTGTGATTTCTAAATAACTGTGGTTTCTAAAGAAATGTGGTTTTGTAAATAACTGGGGTTTCTAAAGAACTGTGGTTTCTAAAGGACTATGGTTTCTGAAGAACTCGGGTTTCTGAAGAACTCGGGTTTCTAAAGAAAAGTGGTTTCTAAAGAACGGTGGTTTCTAAAGAAATGGATTTCTAAAGAACAGTGGCTTCTAGAGAACAGTGGTTTCTAAAGGACTAGGGCTTTTAAAGAACTGTGGTTTCTAAAGGACTATGGTTTTTGAAGAACTCGGGATTCTAAAGAAAAATGGCTTCTAAAGTACTGTGGTTTCTAAAAACTGTGGTTTCTAGAGAACTGTGGTTCCTAAAGAACTGTGGTTTCTGATGGACTGGGGTTTCTAAAGAACTGCGGTTTCTAAAGAACTGGGGTTTCTGAAGGACTGAGGTTTCTAAAGAAACTGTTGGTTCTGAAGGACTGAGGTTTCTAAAGAACTGCGGTTTCTAAAGAACTGGGGTTTCTGAAGGACTGTGGTTTCTAAAGAACTGGGGTTTCTACAGGAGTGTGGGTTCTAAAGAAATGGGGTACCTAAAGGACTGTGGGTTCTAAAGAACTCTGACTTCTAGAGAACTTTGGTTTCTAAAGGACTATGGTTTCTAAAGAACTGGGGTTTCTAAAGAAATGTGACTTTTAAAGAACTTGGGTTTCTAAAGAACTGTGATTTCTAAATAACTGTGGTTTCTAAAGAAATGTGGTTTTGTAAATAACTGTGGTTTCTAAAGAACTGTGGTTTCTAAAGGACTATGGTTTCTGAAGAACTCGGGTTTCTAAAGAAAAGTGGTTTCTAAAGAACGGTGGTTTCTAAAGAAATGGATTTCTAAAGAACTGTGGTTTTTAGAGAACAGTGGTTTCTAAAGGACCAGGGCTTTTAAAGAACTGTGGTTTCTAAAGGACTATGGTTTCTGAAGAACTCGGGTTTCTAAAGAAAAATGGCTTCTAAAGAACTGTGGTTTCTAAAAAACTGTGGTTTCTAGAGAACTGTGGTTCCTAAAGAACTGTGGTTTCTGAAGGACTGGGGTTTCTATAGAACTGCGGTTTCTAAAGAACTGGGGTTTCTGAAGGACTGAGGTTTCTAAAGAAAAATGGTATCTAAAGAACTGTGGTTTCTAAAGAACTGTGGTTTCCAGAGAACTGTGGTTCCTAAAGAACTGTGGTTTCTGAAGGACTGAGGTTTCTAAAGAAACTGTTGGTTCTGAAGGACTGAGGTTTCTAAAGAACTGCGGTTTCTAAAGAACTGGGGTTTCTGAAGGACTGAGGTTTCTACAGAACTGTCTCCTTCTCTGCAATTTCTTTAGAAGTTCTCCTGGAATTATTAGAATATAAGAAAATTCTAAATCAAACCAGACCAAACCATAACAGACCATACCAGCTATACCAAACCAGATTAAACCATAGCAAAGCAAACCAAACCACACTATACCACACCAAACCATATAAAAGCAAAACAAACCAGAAAAAAACCATACCGGACCATACCAAACCACACCAAACCATACCAAACCATACCAAACCATACCAAATCATACCAAACCATACCAAACCATACCAAACCATACCAAACCATACCAAACCATACCAAACCATACTAAACCATACCAAACCATACCAACCCATACCAAGCCAAATCAAACCAGATAAAACCAAGCCAAACCAGATCAAAGCAAAACAAACCAAACCACACCAAACCAGATCAAAGCAAACCAGACCGTTCCAAACCAGATCAAACCAAACCAAACCAGATCAGATAAATTTGTCCTGGGGTCATAACAGTTACCACTCAAATTTGGGCCTGATCGCTTCAGCTGCAGTTTTGACGTTTTTGATACAAACAAACCAACAGACAAACAAAATACATGATTAAAAATGTTAGACCTGAGAGGAATCCCGTGTTTATTCAACTGATCTTCTAACATTCGAATTTGATCTCTAGCACAGTCTAGGTCTCCTCTCAACCTCCTGATCAAATAGAAAATAAACAATTTTTAGGTTTAACCCTATCCTGGACTCTAGTAGGGCTGGGATTTTTAGTGAGAAAGAGGGGGGAGGGCTGCCAATAGTCCACTTTTCAACGCCTATTAATTCTTGAAAGTGTTGGAAAGCTAACTTATAATGTTATAGGTTTTAAATAAGTTACTACAGAGGAAAAAAAGTTTAAGAAGAATGGCAGAAAATCTTAAATTTTAGACCATATTTTAAGTATTGAAAAAGTTATTCAGGCGTTTTAAGAAGACTTTTTATATTTCAAACCCCCCCACACACACACTTTGGGATAGGGTTTTTCGGCAATTTTCTTTTTTCAAGGAATACAGATGACCAAAACATTTTAGAAAATGCCGCAAACAATTAGTTTATTATTAACCTGAGCTTTGTTTTACAAACATCTTCTCCACAGTTCTAGAAAGAAAAAACATTATTTTAATTTGTTGTTTTAAATTTCATTTTGAGAGAATCAATATTCCGTGTATTTTCCTGTAATTTGAAAATTTTCAGGGATATTGTTTCTCATAATTGTCCTGGGACATTATGAGAAATAATGTCACAGAAGTTACTAAATTTTTTGGATTTTAGAGTTTTTTTTTCGCGTTTTTTTTTCAGTTTAAAAGGGAATATATCTATATAAGCAACTGCCTTGTGTTTTAATACGGGACATTATATTTTTGCCTGGATTTGTACTTAATTTAGTTTGTTTGAGGTTAAAATTCAAACCTTTTAATCGCGGACATAGTGAGGGATTTAAAGGCTTGAATAAACAAACTAAATTAAGTAAAGATCCCGGGAAAAATATAATGCCCCGTATTATAACACAACTTACAAGTTACAAGGCAGTTGCATGAATAGATATTAATCCTTGATGCTCAATTTCATTATGGTATGTAGTTATGTAATGTAAATAAGCTAAATAGTTTGGTATAAAGTTAAGATGGTTCCTGGATATTCTCAAACAAAAACTCAAGGTAGTTCTAAAATAATTAATTTTAATGATCGACAAAAGAATTCAAAAATAACTTTTTATTTGTGAATTGTCAATTTGCAAACTGCAGAAATATATAAAAAAAATTCTTTTACAGTTTAATACTATCATTTTGACATACCATATCATTTTTTCTGTTTTCGAAGGTTCTCGCCTTTTTGATTATATTTAAGTGTTTTTAATCAATTAGTTTCAAGATGGCCCCGGGGTCTTAGAACGGAATTAGTAAATTACTGATTCTAGCTGGGAATCCTCTCAGCTTTAATTAGTCAATGTACTTAACAAATTTACAATTTCTTCTCGTATACATGTTAATTATATATTTTAACAAATTTATTTAATTTGATAATACCTGGTCACCATATCCCAGATCCAGAAAAGAACGCACTGATGTTCGCCTATGAGAATTTTTTTTAAAGGGACTGTATGCGAAATTTTAAGTAACTCTAGATTCTCAATGGTTCCCTTTAAAGCTTTGACTTATATAGTATTGTTAATTTGTCTGTTTGTTTGTCATGTGACTCACTATATAATACGATCTATATTATCGTCCTGATTTATGCATCAAAGGAAATCAGGGGGGAAGATAGTTATCTATCTGTGTGCTCAGTTAGCTGTACTGTACACTTACAACTGTTTACTAATATTGATATACTATAGGTTAGGCCAGAATCAACTTATAATAAACAAAATATGCAGTACGCTCTCGGTATAGCTTATGGCCTGTAAAAATAGTAAATGATTAGCGTACATCATCACTCTATACACTATAACCTCGTTGAATGAAATCTTTAAAGTGCAAATAAAATGTAGAGCAGAGTTTAGTAGAAGCTAACCTTGTAAAGCAGAGTTTAGAAGAAGCTAACCTTGTAGAGCAGAGTTTAGTAGAAGCTAACCTTTTAAAGCAGAGTTTAGTAGAAAACAGGAGTTATACAGTATCTTTCTTCAGGTTATTTATCATTATTACTATTACAATTATTATTATGATTGTTATTATTATTATTATTATTATTATTGTTATTGTTATTGTTATTGTTATTGTTTACTTTCTGACTAGTTGATTTCTTGACTGGCTCGCACCATCCTAATTCAAAATAAAACAATTATAAATTTTACATTTTAATTCGTTATTGTTTCCGAATTAGAAAATCAATATGAAAATAAAACTAAAATATATAATTTTGTGAATAGAGTAAGTTCAGAGTTATATAACTAAAGATTGGACTTCGGAGACAGAAATCTAATTCCTATCTGCTGGAATTCCATTTTTTATCTGTTAGAAATCTAAGTCCTAGCTGCTGGAAATCAAATTCCTATCTTCTGAAAATCTAATTCCTATCTGCTGGAAATCTAATTCCTATCTGCTGGAAATCAAATTCCTATCTGCTGGAAATCAAATTCCTATCTGCTGGAAATCTATTTCCTATCTGCTAAAAATCTAATTTCTATCTGCTGGAAATCTAATTCCTATCTGCTAGGAAGTACAATTCCTATCTGCTGGAAATCTAATTCCTATCTGCTAGGAAAACAATTCCTAATTGCTGGAAATCTAATTCCTATCTGCTGGAAATCTAATTCCTATCTGCTAGAAATCTAATTCCTATCTGCTGGAAATCTAATTCCTATCTGCTAGGAAAACAATTCCTATCTGCTGAAAATCGAATTAATTCCTTTCTCTTTTGGAAATCCAATTCCGTTTATCTGGAAATCCAATTCCTATCAGCTGGAAATCCAATTCATATCAGCTGGAAATCCAACTCCTATCAGCTGGAAGTCTAATTCCTATCTGATGAAAATTCAATTTCAATCTGATGGAAATCTAATTCTTATCTGATAGAAATCCAATTCTTATCTGCTGGAAATCCAATTAATATCTGATGGAAATTAAATTTTTATCTGCTAGAAATTAAATTTTTATCTGCTGGAAAATCCAATTCCTATCTGCTGGAAAACAAATTCCTATCTGCTAGAAATCCAATTCCTATCTGCTGTAAATCCGATTCCTATCTGATTGAAATCAAATTACTATCAACTGGAATGGAAATCCATTTTTTTTTGCTGAGAAGTCCATGATTTCCTAAATCTTATTTTAATCTTTAGAAATATTCAATTCCTATCTGCTGGAAATCCAATTCCTATTTGCTAGAAATTCAATAAATGATGTTATAAAATGATGTTATTAAAATATTATTATAAAAATGAATCTTTGCCACAAATTCTAGATCTTATCTTTTCAACCTGATGGTGTTAACACTTGATATTTAAAACCTAAATTATTTCATCTAGAAGAATTAATAGTTAAAAGTATCTAAGGTCATACGACATTGGGTTGCAAAGGTTTACTGATAAGTTCAATTCCTTTGTCAACCTACCTTGTTAAAAATAGAAACCCAGCTGTTATAAATCGTTTTCTCTCTCAGCGTCGGAGAAAAATATCTTCAAAACAAACACTTTATAATTTTGCTTTCAAGAAAAACTATTAATCCCCCCAAAAATTTCTACAATAATTCCAAGTGTTCCTCTTTTCAGTCTACACAACACATTCTGACCAGTGCCCTTTAAACCTATATCTGAGTAACAATTTACCGGCTTTTTTCATGTCTCAACTTTAAAGAGAATAAATAAAACTAGCAATTTTTAGTTAGAAAAACTAGAGCATCTTCATCAGTTTTGCGCAAATTAAAATTTAAAGGGACGGTATTAATCAGATATTTAACTCCTTAAATGGAAGGAATCTAAACGAAACAATTAATTGCATTTTTATTCTGTCTCTTCGTGACATCTTTGAGATTGGCTTGGTTTTGCGTTTAAATATTTACTATTGCCTTGGAATTTTGATGTATTTTCAAGTGAGTGAACAATAAACAATTAGACATCGGTATTTATATCTGCCTTGTCTGTCTGTTTGTTTGTATCCAATAAACGTCAAAACGGCTGAACCGGTTGGGTCAACTTGGCGTCTTGAAAAGCAACACATTGAAAGAGGGTCCTGAAAGCCTAGTAAATATAAACATTAACACTAATATCTAGACTAAACCCCTTTCACAGGAGTAAACCTACTCAATCAATCATTTAGTGCTCATATACACTAACCACAGATTAGTTTCTTGATTTGTAGATAGATATAAGAAATATTGGAAAGAGAAGGATAGGTTGATAGATAAATAGAAAAATATTGGATAGATAAATGGATGCAGAGAATACATATTGGAAAGATATTAATTGAAATTAATTGAAATGTTTTGCTATCATTATTAAAATTAGGTGGAAAAAAATCAAAACAGTCAAGAGCTATATTTTCCAGCTAATTGCTCTATACTTGCACTGTTAAAATAATTATTAATTTGTAATTGTAAACTCTTTCTGTTCACTGTATATCACTTCAAATAGATAAGATAGCTTAGATTACACTTAAAATACCAAGAGTACACTAAAAACAGCTAGACTCGATAAAGATAGACTCTAAAAAGCTTAGATTGTAAAATTGAAATAGCTTAAAACACTTAAAGAAGCTTATATACACTAAAAATCGCTAATAATTAAATGTACACTATAACTAAATATCATGGAAACAAATAAAAAACTTGACTATACATTACAATATAGGAAGTTTGTATTGACATACAATCCAAACTTACGTTTATGAATTGCAGAAATACTGCATGGCACGACTTTGCGACCTTGATTGTAACTCCTCTTCGCACAAAATGGATTGCATCTCCTCTACGCNTCATCATCATCATCATCATCATCATCATCATCATCATCATCATCATCATCATCATCATCATCATCATCATCATCATCATCATCATCATCATCATCATCATCATCATCATCATCATCATCATCATCATCATCATCATCATCATCATCATCATCATCATCATCATCATCATCATCATCATCATCATCATCATCATCATCATCATCATCATCATCATCATCATCATCATCATCATCATCATCATCATCATCATCATCATCATCATCATCATCATCATCATCATCATCATCATCATCATCATCATCATCATCATCATCATCATCATCATCATCATCATCATCATCATCATCATCATCATCATCATCATCATCATCATCATCATCATCATCATCATCATCATCATCATCATCATCATCATCATCATCATCATCATCATCATCATCATCATCATCATCATCATCATCATCATTATCCAATATTTCTCCACCTGTATTTTGAGTTTGTTGGAAAAGCTAGTCCGTATCCCGTCATGGCCGACCAACTGCCAACCTTCGGAACAATTTTGTTTGTCAAGAATTCAAAACTTGTGCTGAAAAGAACCCTCCATTTTTAAAGTAGCTTGTCAACAACGGGACCCTTTAAAGTTTTGACAGATGAAGCATGCATGAGATATCCCTCATTTCTCTTTATCAAACTGGACATTGTCAATTATTGTAAAGTGATATTAAGTATAATAAAAGCGGATTTCTTGCTACAGAAAAGCTGGAGAGAATTGTTAGAATTACACACTAGTTAAGCTAGGTAAGAATGCAGAGCTAATGATTTAATGGGTGCTGTTGTGAATCAGACAAGTCACTTTTCATACGAAGACTTAAGTCATTGGGACTTAATTGGAGTTAGAACGACTGTCCTTTCAAAACATTTTTTAAGTCTTAAATATCCCAAATATAATTGAACAAGTTTAAAGAAATATGATAAAACTGGACGACGTAGAATCGCTTCAAGTTATTGAGCTATGTACTACAGTGAGAACTATCAAACTCTGAACAAGGAAGACGATTTTTAGACCTAATGTTCATTGAACATGAGACACAGCAATTAAATAGTTTAAACAGACCAATTTCACTTAATAAGTGATTAAATAAGCTACTAGTAAATCTATGTGCTTTGTAACAAAATCAAGTACACTTAATTATTGCGCTAATGTCGTCTTCCTATTCCACAGTTTTCTGGTTCTCACTGTTTGTTTGTTTAGAATGAAAAGGGCGTTCTCCATCTTTTGCCCAAACATGTTCTAGACAAGCAAACTACTAATTGCCAATCACCGCAAAAAAGAATGCACAATTTTAATTAAGCCAGTTCATTGTAAAGAAACTTATCAGCTCTTGATTAGTATGTTACCAACAACAACAAAACTAAAAAAAAAACTTATTTTAATTATATCATGAGCGGATGATCAATTGAGAACGAAAATAAAGAATTTTTTTTGAATGTGATTGTGAATAAAAGTTCATCTGAGGAGAGAGCAGGGGGGTGTTAAAAACTTTTGGAGAAATATTTTTCATGGTAAAAATAACCCCTTTAACCTGTCAAACTTTAAAAGGTTTATCCATTTTTTGAATAATATTTCTGCTAAATGAAACAACGAAACATTTCTTTCAGGATTATTCAATTCTAATCGAAGACGACTAAAGTTCCATAAAAAAGTGGGGAATGACTCATATTGAGTAATCTCTATTTTTTTTTTCTTTTATAATATGTTAGCAGACTTTAAAATGAATTAAGAATTCATGAAAGGTAGAGTTTAATTGAAATTTCAATTTCGAGAAACAAGTTTTAAAAAGTTTTTTTCATTTCCATATTTTTTGCTCTTTCAACTTTTCTTTTGCATTTCGTTGCATAAAATTTAACATTTTTGTTGTACAGAACTCAGCTTAATGGGACAAAAAAATGTTCAGGAGTAGGGGATGCTTTCTTAAAATTTATATTTTTTTAATTTTTAAAGTGAATATTCCTGAGGTAAATGTGTTCACAAGTAAGCAGGAATATAGAGGTGATAATTCCACACACAAGCAGTAGGAACGCAGATAGAAACTAAATTATTAATAATTTTAGAAAAATTAACAAACATGCTTCTTTAGATGGAAGAAGAAAATCAAATTTATGCGACATAACTGACTTTGTGAAATCGTAGCTCCTTCAGTTTCTATTTTACGATTCTTGTTTAAAATATATTAACTTGAAAACATGTAAAAGTACGTTTACAGTTCTTTAAACATTTTTATAATCCTTGTGAACAAAAACATGAAAATTCTTTTAACATTTCCATTAAGTTTACTGCGTACTAAAAATTAGGACTGGAATGTAATAAATCTCGAACTTGGGTTTATTTATTATTTTCCTAAAAGCGTCAAAGTTTCACCGAGTATAAAGTCAAATATATATTTTATTCTTTTATTAAGTTTGTAAGAATTTAAGAGAAGAGATATTTTTGAGAATTCTTGATTCAAAAGCTTGTTGAGAAATATTTTTTAAGTAGTAGAAGTTTAAAAAACTATATTATTTTCTATCTTAAAATATTCTAGATTATTCCTGTGTTGTACAGGACTACCCAAAGACCTTTGAAGAATTTAAACTGAATAAATATAACGATATGAAGGTTAACTTTGGTCCTTTGCCTTGAAAATAGTATTTTAATGGTTAATTAAAAGATTTGGAATAGAGAAAAACAAGCTTCAAGTTGCAGAGAACCATGGGAGGCATTTTGTACACTCGTCTCTGAAGATTTCTCATTTTAATTTTTTAATTTTCATTCAGAGACATCTTATAAAATTGAAATACAAAGACGACAACATTCAGACTTTTTGCAGGTTATCACCTGTGCTTCAGAGAGGGGTTCAGAGGCTCGTTTCTCCTGTTCATTTGGTTTACAGGTTCCATGCAACCAGAACCTTCCCAACCTTTCCAGATCACCATTCTCCCTGTAGTCCAACAGCTTGTCATTAAACATCGTCCTGAACATCATCATCATCATCATCATCATCATCATCATCATCATCATCATCATCATCATCATAATCATCATCATCATCATCATCATCATCATCATCATCATTCATTATTATTTTCATTAAAAATATATTTAATTCTTGAAATACTACTTTAAAGAAAAACTTATGAATATTAAATTGTGTCTCCATTCTGATTCTACTGTTAAAATCTATAAATCAAATCTAGTTGCAACCAGATCTAGTCTGTAGTTTTCTTTTAAAGGTTATTAAAAGGTACAGATTACAGGGGTAGGTTGAAACTTTAAAGAATTATAATCACAGAAATATCTAAAATTTTTTTTACGCTTAGTTTATTTTTAAAATTAAAAAGGGTATAAAAAACCTGAAAAAGGCAGAGAGGATCCGGTTTGAAATCCTCTTCACCGTAAAACAGGATTATATATATAGCTTGATATATTTTTTTTAATTAAACATTGTGCTTTTTCGAATAATCATCAGATCTAATCATGCGCGTCCATATTGATATTTACCCTGTCGAGGCTGAAATTGTAAAATGTGTTTAAAAAGTATGTAATCCGACCGAAGGGAACTCGGAATCAGTTTACACCGAACCTTTCATTGTCTGTATCCTCTTAAACCGTAATTTAACATTTAAGATAAATAATTGTAATCAATATACAACTATTTTTCTTAATATTGTTGTGATATTTCGCAGGTGTTCCTTCTTCTCTGACAATGTTTTTATCATTATATTATCATCAATATTACCTAAATATATCTAAAAAATTTATGTTCAATATTTTTATGTTAGCTATTGCTGGCTAAACGGCTGACCGAGAAAACACAGGCTAAAAAGTATTTTTTTTTAAAATAAAATTTTTTTGTAAAATTTTTTCAGCTAGTTATTATTATTACTTTTTTAAATTCTATAAAATCTATTAAGAAAAAGAATTATATATATTCATACTGTATATATATATTATGAATACGTATATATATATTTTAACTATTGAACTAGTTCTAGCTAGTTGAACGACTTTTTTGTACATTTGCCACTTCAATTTCTGGTTTAATATTTTCGGTAGCACCAATACCTTAAGAAAAAAATTTACCTTCATATTTATCAAGTGTGGAATATTGTCACTTCGATCTGAAAAATTACAATTTTTTGATATTGAGCTATAGGCATGGTTTCTTTGATTAACAATTTTAAAACCAAAACAATCTGCTTTTCTGCCAAAAAAAACTGGTAGTTTTAAAATATGCTTACAGCCTGATATTCATCGATATTTTTAGCATTCATAATGCTTTTAACTATAATGTATAAAAAAATGGCCTAAAATAAGCTTTGATAAGAGTCAATTTTTGTTAATAGGAGTCCACTTTTGTTCTTAAGAGTTCACTTTTGTTTATAGGAGTTTACTTTTGTTAATGAAGTCCACTTTTGGGTAATTTCTTAGAGAACGATTTTTGGAACCCCCAGGCCCCCCCCCCCTCCTATCAATTTTGTACATAGATCTTAAATGTTAGACATGGATATAATTGACCATGTGGCCACAGCGCTCGGCCCCCTAGCATGTCCTAGCTGCAGCGCTCTGCCCAGAAAGTGTCTTAACCTAACCTAAACCTAAATAATACTAAATAAATACTAATTTGGTCATGTACAAAATTGATAGGAGGGGGAGGGGGGTCCAAAAATCGTTCACTAGGACCAAAGAGAATAGAATATATATTAGAGGGGAATTTAGTGAATCTCTCGGTATGAATTTTTTCAGTCCCTTTCAGCCTGAAAGGGAGTTCAAATTATATGCAGTAGAGTACATTAATACAGTATGTTCCCTAGACTATATATTTCAATTTCGAATTTTTTAAAGCTGTTAAATAAACTTTGCAATGAATTAGGTGAATAAAAAACATCATTTGATTTATAGTATAACGAAAAATCATCGTTTGTAAAATGAAATCTATGTGAAATGATCATTGGTCAATTATACACCAGCCTATTTTATACTTTAGTTTTAGATTTTCTATAAAATGATATTCCAGGGCCCAAAAGGTTATATAGCATAAATATGTGAAGTATACATGCAGTATGGAAACAGTACAACAAAATGGCCGTTTTACACTTTTTTCTAGTAAATTCAACTCTAATATATATTCTATTCTCTTTGACTAGGACTGACCCCACTTTTGTTAATAAGAGCTTACTTTTGTTAATATGAGTTCACTTTTAAATATAATTCTCCATTTTTGGTTCATTCGACTCAACTTTTGTGTGAGAATCAAGTATTTGATAGATTTATATTCAGTATTTTTACCTAGCATAGACCGATCTATAAATAGATAGATAGATAGATATTTAGTATTTTTACCTAGCATAGGCCGATCTATAAATGTTTCTGCATCCTTGATAAATACTTCCTTTAGAAACTCGGGACTTGTCGTCCAGATAGCGGGACTTGGACCTCTTAAATATAATAATAAGTTAGTCCAGATAGCGGGACTTGGACCTCTTTAATATAATAATAAGTTAGTCCAGATAGCGGGACTTGGACCTCTTAAATATAATATAAAGGGGTCAGAATCATATTTCACAATGATCTGAACACACAAGGGGTTCCGAAAATGACAACAAAAATATTAAAATTTGAAAAATCGCCAATGTTTTGCAAAATATGTATTTAATAAAAACATTAGTATTACAACACCCAAAAATATCGAAAATATCTGGTTTCATCAAAATTTCACAATAAGTCTTTTAAAAATAAAGTTATGGTAGGAGATTTTTTAAAAAATGGTAGAATAAGTCTAACCTGTACCAGCCCATGATTTTCCCGCCCTTTTCACCAATTTCCTCCCCATATTCCTCCATCCATCTTAAAAAAGAGAAATCAAATTTAATTATGGACTGGTCCCTTTCCTAATATCCTAATTGTCTAATAATATTTGCAACCATTGTCCATTTGGATTAACAAAATTTGACTCATTAATATATCAGCTAGAGGCCATAGTTTGAAATATCAAAGGTTTACAAAACCAGTTTTCAAAGTTTCCAAGATAAACCTTACTTGATGAGTAAATATTCACTCACCTCATACCCTAGTTTTCTAATCTCTGAAGATATTTGCAACCCTTTGAATTTAAAACTTAGACTAAATTTCTTGTAATGAAGTCGGAAGGCTTCTATGGTCTTTAGGAGGGAGAAAATGCGGGAAAGGGGGGGGGGGAAATGGTATAAGGAGAGGGGGAAATGCATTATAAAATCCAGAATTGAGTTTCCCGACCCAATGTTGATGACTTTAGACACCCCACATGGACTTAACACAAAGTTGTTGAAAAAATGTCTGAAAAATGCGGGAAAAATTAAGGGAAAAATTATTTTTCCCCCACTTTGGTTTTTGATTAAAAAACTAGATCACAATTCAGGCCTGCATGCCAAAAATCAGAGAGAAATCTCTAAAAACAAAGTCAGAAAGCCCCCCCCCCCCACCCTTTGTATGGAAATGTGGACATTCCCCTTTGAACTCTCAAAGTTCATAGTTTAAAAATGATATTGAGATTAAGGGAACGGAATTAAGGGTATTCAAGACTAAAGCTTCCAACTCACTTTGTTGGGAAATATATATATAGATTGCAGGAGGCAAGGATTTATTTTAATGGAATACTCTTGAAAATACAGATTTATAATAATCCTTGTTATTCTCAATTCTTAGAAAATATTCATGGTCTTTTTATATATAATCTAACTATTCGTAAAACAAAACATTTTAATTATAGAACTTTTGTACTAACTTTTGTCCTGACTTTTTGTCCTGACTTATGTCCTAACTTATGTCCTGACCTTTGTCCTGACTTTTGTCCTGACTTTTGTCCTGACTTATGTCCTGACTTTTGTCCTGACTTTTGTCCTTACTTTTGTCCTGACTTTTGTCCTCACTTTTGTCCCGACTTTTGTCCTGACTTTCGTTCTTAATTTACCTTTCCATAGTTCCCAGATCATCTTGTACAAGCTGAAGAAGGTTTCCAAATAGAAGGTTTACAGGAGGCACCCTATACCCGTAGTCTGTCAGAACCTAGAGTTAATCATATACAGGGTGTCAAAAATAAAAGGTTTAGAGGGGGAACCCTGTACCTGTATTTTAGATTATATACAGTCTCAAATAGACTGAAGCAATAATAGGAGTTTACAGGGGCATGCATGTTGAGTACAGCGATTTTAGTCTCGTGTTCATGCTTCAGCTTAACTGTTTGAAAAAAGTAATTGGCAAAATAGAATTTAGCGTGAGAGCTCAGGAAACCGTTGATAACTGTAAACTTACTCTGAAACTTTTTCTTCTGTCAATATACCAGTAGAGGAGAAATGTCACGAGAAAGAGCAGAACATAAATGTACATTATTCTAACTTCTGAAAATGTTTTACTATTATATTTGGTTTAATTAGTTTTTGTTTTGTTTTCATAAAAATAGTTTTCTGAAGATTTTCTGAAGATTTCTGTTTGAAACTGAAACAACTTTTTTAAGCGAAATCTCCCAGGAACTTTACAGAAACTCCCATAAAAAATTGTACTGTAGTTTCTGGGAGAAATGTAAACAACCACTGTGTTGCCCAGACTAAGCTTTGTTACCGTACCTCCCAGAAACTGAAGCATTCACTTCATTTTATGGAAAAGATCATTTTATATTCCTTGGCGGACACTAAGAACATTGATTAAGAACAGTTTTATGATTAATATTCTACACACATAAAATGTAATTAATGCAGTTTGTGAAAGGAATATAGAAATTCTTACTTTTTTAAAACTTTTGCGCGATTTTTTAATAAAGGAAGCGCAACATTTTGCTTTCGTTGCGCTATATTTTACGCGAAAAAATAGCACTTTGCGCAATGATTTGCAAACTTCATTTCGCGCATTTTTGCGCTATTCCGCTTTGCGTAATTCCGTTTTGCGCAATTTGGCGGAACAAATTCTTATCTAAATGTTAAATATTATAGGTATAAACTGTATAAATTTATTATCTATGAGATCGCACTGCTTTCACATATAATTGCAATGGTTTAAAAGGAACTGATTACTTGCCTAAAACTCTATTTTGCCACCTGCTCCATAATGGCAAACTGCAAATCAAGATGAGCACACTCTTACACAAAAATTGTGCAATAATTGTGCACTACTTTGAAATTGCTCCTTTTAAACTTAAGTTGGAAAAAGACACGTAGTATTTTTTGAATGTATTTGTCCGTCAACTTGAAGTTTTGTAACTAAAAGTAACCAATTGGGAGTAGCATAATCATAAGTTTTTTAGTTAGTCCTGTCCAACTTTTAAATGCCTACTCATTAAAAAAAATAGACCTCTAACTTTAATGGTTAGGGTGCGAGGGAGGATTTATAAAAAGTTCAAAAAGTATGCCGAAAAAATGTCCAAAAATAGTTATTTTTACTTTTAACAAATATTAACGTAAGACACATATTAATAAACCCATTTTTCAACGGCTTTTTAAATATGTAAGTCTTAGCCCTGTTTCTTTATTATTTTAACCATTTCTGATTTTTCGGGTTCATTTTGACCGTCCTTTCCACCTTACCCTTTGCAATTGCATCAAAAAAATTTTTTTAACAAAATTTGTTCAGTGAAGAAGTTTTAGCGTTCTAATGTGAGCCGTTTTTAAGAGATTCAGAAGAAACCACAGGGGGGGTTCCCCCCCCCCCCCCCCAATCGTCAGGGTTAAGATGTTAGATTTTACGCAAAAAAATGCGCAAAAACGAGCAAAACGTTTTGCGATTCATGCGCTAAAGATACGCAAAATTCGGGGAAACAAATTTTGCGCACAAATTACGCAAATTATGCGCAAAAAATATAATCATTTCGTGGAAACCGTCGAGGGGGATATGTAAAGGAAATGAGTATTTGCCAGAAACTCAAATTTTCTAATCCCTTTATATTTTTAATTTGATTTTACATTTAAAACCTAGATTATTTGATCCAATATAATTCATAGTTTGAAATATCTAAGGTCTACGACATTATAATGCCTTCCTAAGATAAAGTGATTAGACCTATTTGATCGATAATATGATACAGTGGGACACATAAAACTGTGGAATAGGAAGACGAAATTTATCTTATGTGTATTTAATATTGTAAAAAGCTTGAAGGCTTGAAAATCTATATTTAAGGTAAACCGGTGTATCTGCATCTGCACAGTTTCTGTGTTTTATGTTTATAAAATCAAAACAGATGAAAAATCAACTATATACAAATGTGGCGAAAGATAATCGATGAGTATAGGTTGTAATATCTGAATGATTTGTTTGAAATTAAATAGATTTTTTTACGGTCTAAGTCGTATGTTGCATCTTTCTGAATTTTGTATGGGGGCTACGTTCTTCGGTATTAGTCGTTTTTAACAATTTTCTCCTTATAGACGCAACAGATAGAAGTAGATTAGTAGCGATCAAAAGCGCTTTTTTATCGCATTAAGCCTATACCCCCTTTCATTTTTCGCGTACACTCCCTTTAAATCATATCTTTTTTAAGTCATAACGGTCATAACATATTCATATTTCAAATTTTATGTTTTGTTTTGTTCCTAATTCCAATAATTTGGGTATAAATTATACTTTCAAATCGGCGAACACTCCCTTTAAATCATCTCCACGTCCACAAAGATGTATATTTACTGACTCTCATTGCCTTCATATCTGAGAGATAAGATTCTAGAACAACAGATATTATATAATCTAGTAATTAAATATATTATCTTGTTATTTTAATAAACAAAACATAAAAAAATTATATTAATTATTTTTAATTTCACATCTGGTTTTATAGTTTAAGGCTAGTCCCAATAATTGTGCCTCCTAAGTAAAGAGCATGTTCTCCTCTTTAATTCTATGTACTGTGATAACCAGAAAACTCTGGAATAGTAAGACGACTTGAAAATCAAGTTTTAACTTTAAAAAGTTCAACAACCATGAAACACAGCAATTGTGCAGTGTAAACAGACCCATTTCACAGAAAAAGTGATTTTAAAAGTGTCTGGTAAAACTATTTGCTTTGTAACACCATCAAATGCTTTAATGTCATATTCCTATTTCATTGTTTTCTGGTTATCACTGTACAACTATCCCCAGAAAATAAAGCTTGGAAGGGTTGCAGTATTTGATCAATGGTGTGAAAGATATTGTCGTTTTTTTAGAAATAAAAATGTTTAATTTAGGTAATTTCTTTATGTTTTCCTTCAGCAGAAATGTGCAGGTCATGCATGTGCACTTTTGTAGAAAAACCACAATTGAAAAATAGTCAGTTTTCAAATTGTAAATATTGATATCTAATTCATACTTGATCAGACAAAGCTTTAAAATGACCCAATTGTGGGTATTACCGGCCGCGGCCTTCTTCTCATTAAGGGTCTCTTGAAAAAACGGGCACTGTCCCTTTAGGTTCACATATCTCCTTGTATATTTTGGTATTTCTTGGTATATATTGGATAAACAGGAGAGGATCATACATGTACGTGATGGATTTAGAATTTGTAAGCATCGTGTAAATATGATAAATTGCGCATACTTCAAGAATTTTCAAACATAATACAAAACTACAGTTCTATAGCAAAAATCAAGAAACGGCCAAAAAATGCGCAAATTAATGTATGAAATTTCTTCTGAAAAAGATTGCTTTCTATTCCACTGATTTCTGGTTCTTATCTATATATAAATTTGGCTTGTCTGTCTGTTTGTTTGTTTGTCTGTTTGTATCCAATAAACGTCAAAACGGCTGAACCGATCGGGCCCAAATTTTTTGTGGGACATCTAGGGACCCCAGGGAAGGTTTATGAAAAATCAAAATTTCAAATATTTGTCTCCATCAAAATTCGATCGTCATTAAATTTTTAAAAATTTTGAAAATCCGCGAAATTTTTTGTGAAAATCCGTGAATTATTTTTGTTTTGTTTTACGATGTACACAAAGAGAACATGTTCACAACTAATTTAGAAGATGGGCGCGAAGCGCCCTCTAAGGCTTGAAAGAAGGGCGCGAAGCGCCTTGAATTTCTAGTATAGCAAACTTTTCTAACAACACTCTTCTTTAGGAAATTTAAAATCTAAAAACATTTTGTGAAACGAACATTTGCTTATTTTTTAGGGAAGTTTTTAAATTATGATTAAGCCTATTTAAAAATTTTGTTTGAAAAAATAATTTTTAGATTTTTTTTTGGGGGGGGGGAATTCTAAATCATTAAAATGCGAAATTGGGCAAGGATATCTTAAAATCAGTATCTTTTTAGCAAATTATTATAACATATATTTAATTTTTAAGAAGTTTGTTTGATATATTTCATATAATTTACTTGTAATGGATCTTTAGAGACTGATATGACTTTTTTATTTCAATAAAAATAAAATTTCATATTTATTAATATTAATAAATATGAGCAGCGGTGTATTGTGGAGGTGCAAACCACACATAAACATACGTAGATATATTTATATATATATATATACAGTTCCTCGCTCTCTGCGTGTTCTTTAGTTGGTTCACGTTCTCCGGAGAAGGAACATAAGGGGGGGGGGATTCTCAGGGAAAATAGGGGTTGTAATGATTTAGTAAATTTCGACACATTATTGTTTAAGTTTAAGTTATTTAAGTTTAAAATTATTTATATAAAAAAGTCAGTAAAATAGATTATTTAAATGTTTTCTGTTGTACAATGTAAGTTGTACAGTGTACAATGTAGTATGTATTATAAAATATAGTCTCTACATGCAAGTCTGTACAATAGATTATTTACATGTTTTCTGTTGGACAATGTAAGTTGTACAGTGTACAATGTAGTATGTATTGTAAAATAAAGTCTGTACATGAAGTCTGTACAATAGATTATTTACGTGTTTTCTGTTGTACAATGTAAGTTGTACTGTGTACAATGTAGTATGTATTGTAAAATAAAGTCTGTACATGTAGTCTGTACAATGGATTATTTACATGTTTTCTGTTGTACAATGTAAGAGCTGTAATATCTATTGTACAATGTAGTCTGTTAAATACAATCTCTTAATAATTTTAAACTGTACAATGTACAATGTACATCAACAAAAACCAACGTACAGCTTAACCACTGTAAACTCCGGTTTAATTCATGTACCGGACTGACTTTAAATTAGTTAGAGCAAACTGTACAGTACAGATCAACGAGGTTATAGTATATAGAGTGATAATCTTTAATTTTACAGGCCATAAACTATACCGAGAGCGTACTGCATATTTGTTTATTATAACTTGATTCTGGCCTAACCTATATAGTATATGAATATTAGTAAACAGTTAGTAAACATCCCCTCTGGTACAGATACAGACTATGTGTAGGCAAAACGGGACCTACGCCAAATGAAAGATCTCCTTCTAGTGAAATATTTGAGTAACGTACTGTAAAACAACGAAAGTAGCTGAATATATAGTGCTAAAATAACACCCCGGACTAACCAGAGTAAGAAGCATTTTGTTTCATTTATTTGAAATCAAACGTCTATAATTTAACAATCTTTAAACTTACGGATTTATTTTATACTTTTGTATTCAAAATGTTTATGCCGACAAAAAAGTATTTAAGAAAAAAGGATAAAACATTATGTATAATGGTTCAAATTGTGATCGAAAGCCAAAGCTTCCTGATATATTGACAGAACCGTTAAATCCACGTGACCAGGGTTAAGTCGATAAAGACGAATAAACTGTATCTCTTTTTACGTGTTGTTTGTATTCTATAGACATGTAGTACGCGACAGTATATTTTTAAAGAAAAACCAAACAAAAATATTTGTCGAACCCCGAAAATAGAAACAGATTCCACAGATACATACATTTAGGGCAATTTCTGTACAATTTTACAATGTATGTCTGTACGATGTGTATATTCTGTTAAATGTGGTCTGTACAATGTAAGCTGTACAATTTAGCAATGAACAATACAGTCTGTACATTATGGTCTATACAATGTATTCTGTACAATATATACTGTAAATATAGTCTGTACATAATAGTATGTACAATGTATTATCTACATATGGTCTGACAATTTAAGCTGTGCAATTTAGTAATGAACACTATAGCCTGTACATTATAGTCTGTAGTACAATGCAGTCTGTACAATATATAATGTACAATGTACAATATACATATGGGCTGTTCAATGTAAGTTGTACAATTAAGTCTGTACAATGTAGTCTGTAAAATGTAGCCTGTTAAAAATAGTCTGTACAATATAGTCTGTACAATATAGTCTGTACAATTTAGTCTGAACAATGTAGTCTTTACAATAAAGTCTGTACAATGTATTATCTACATGTGGTCTGTAAAATGTAAGCTATACAATTTAGTCTGTACAACGTATTATGCAAAATATAGTACAGGGTGTCCCACGAAACATGACAGTATGCAGGACGACTTGAATGTCGTCTTGATTTTTGATATAATTTGGTGCGTTTATTTTTCAACCTAATTTTAGAAGTAAATTTCTAGAGATAATAGTCACAAAATTTCCCTTGTCCTGCCATTTCCAAAATGTGGTCTGCCTTTTTTGTGCTTTCAATATTGCCCGAGATATGAAGAATTTCGTTCAGATTTCGACAATTTTGCTTTTATTTAACAAAATTGAAATCTGAACCAAACTCTTTATATCTCCGGTAATATTGAAAGCACAAAAAACGCAGACCACTTTTTGGAAATGCCAGGGCTAGGAGAATTATGTGATAGTTGTTTCAAGAATCATACATGTTAAAGTAGATAGAAGACTAAATGTCACAAATAAATTCAAATACCAAAGACGACTTTCAAGTCGTCTTCCTATTGTCATGTTTCGTGGGACACCCTGTATTATCTACATATGGTTTGTACAATGTAAGCTGTATAATTTAGTCTGTACAATGTAGTCTGTACAATATAACCTGTACAATTTATTATCTACATATGGTCTGTACAATGTAAGCTGTACAATTTAGTTTGTACAACGTAGTATGCAAAATATAGTATGTACAATGTATTATCTACATATGATTTGTTCAATGTAAGCTAGGTACAATGTAGTCTGTACAATATAGTCTATTCAATATAGTCTGAAAAATGTAATCTCTACGTACAGGGTTACCCACAAAGGATGAGAGTGCAGAGACGACTTTAGGAAATTTACACTGTCTTTTTCTTTATATTTACGATTCCCTGCAGCTGAAAACTTGCGTTTTTCTCTCCCACATATTTAAGCCAATAAAACCTTTATTCAAGGCAGACGAATAATTTAACCTTGGGATTTACATATTCCATGAGTTTCAAGTCGTCTTTACAGTCACATCCTTTGTGGGTAACCCTGAACATGTCACACAAATTTAATTAGAAGGGGATAATTCATTTGGCGCACAGTCCGGTTTTGCCTCATATAGTCTGTATTTGTACTGTACTGCTGTCGACCCGGTACATGAAATGAACTGGAAAGTACCGTGATGTTGTTAAATCTGTTTACAATTTATAATAATAATTATAAAATGTCGCTTGGGATTTTAAAATTTGCAACTAACTATTTCTGCCCTAAGCATTTTCAGATATTTCACAGCTGCAACAATAGAAAAAAATTAAAAATTAAATTAAAAAAATTCTTACCGTCTTTTCTAATGTTAACGGAAGGACAAAGCAAAGGAAAGGCGATATTCTCTCTTATAGTGTTCTGGTTTTCACTGTACTTTAATCATACCTTTAGAATAAATAATGCTAAGGAACTTGATAATTTTAAGCATGTTAACCAGTAATCATCTCACTTCTACTGTAGCACTGGATAAAACTGTCAGGTAAGATGTAAATGTCGTCTTTGATTTAATTACAATATTTCGAGGATATGTCGTCTTATATTTGAAAAATGTGTATATACATACAGGGTGTCCCAATAAACATGGGAATTCAGTGACGAATTCGATATTGTCTTTATAAATAATTCTTTGATTTAGTAAAGTGATACCAACTGAGAAAGCTGTAATCTGTAAGATTTCGTCTGCCATGTTCACATTTTGTTTGTTTATGTTTTGACTGCATACGGTTGTACTTAGTAAAACAAGAAAATTGCAGTATACAAACAGAGAAAACTTGTCCGTCTTCACTGTTCATCTTGTGGGGACATTATGAACACATCTTTACAGTCTTTTACCCTTTTCATAAAATAAACTCTAGCAGACATAATAATATTATGGCTTTTGAAATTAGGTATTACAATGCTAATTCAATACAAAGACGATATCTAATTCGTCACTGAATTCCCATGTTTTTTGGGACACCCTGTACATTCTTAGTGATAAACCGTGAGGTCTTCCGGTTAACAGTTTGTTGAATTTAATCAATTTCTTTCATTTTTGGTGGTTCACTACTATAAACAACTCAAGGGCCTTTTTTATTCTTTGTTTTTTTTTGGGGGGGGGGGCAAGAACCCCCAGATCGTAGAAGACACCCTCCCCCTTTAGAAATAAACGATTTGTCCATTTTTAGTTATTATAGTCATTAATCATTCAAAGTAATGCATTTACAATTGTATTTTTATCTTAATACTGTTTTTTTTAAACCTTTAAACCTTTTAATATTAAACCTTTAAACCTTTATACTTTTACATATTTGTACCTTTTAATATTAAACCTTTCGACATTTAAACCTTTAAACCTTAAACCTTTAAATCTTAAAACCTTTAAACCATGCAACGTTTAAATCTTTAAACTTTCAAACCTTTAAACCTTTAAATGTTTAAACCTTTAAATATTAAAACTTTAAACTTTAAACCACCTTTAAACCTTTAAACCTTTCAACCTATAAACCTTCAAAACATTTGAAACTTTAAACCTTTAAACCTATAATCGTTTAAATCTTTAAACCTTTAAAACTTTAAACATTTATAAACCTTTAACATTTAAACCTTTAAACATTTAAACCTTTAAACCTTAAAACCTAGAATCCTGAGTACTACAGCTGGAGGTCTGGTAAGGACGGGAAAACTACGAAATCCTGAATCTAATGATAGAACAGTCTCTTCATTCACATTATGCTTCAGGTTATCTTTATTAAAGGGATTGTATTCCTAGGGACTGCATTCCTAACAAAAGGGACTGTATACCTAACTAAAGGGACTGTATACCTAATTAAAGAAACTGTATACCTAACTAAAGGGACTGTATACCTAATTAAAGGAACTGTATGCCAAACTAAAGGGATTGTATACTTAATTAAAGGAACTGTATGCCAAACTAAAGGGACTGTATACCAAACATAAGGGACTGTATACCTAATTAAAGGACCTGTATGCCAAACTAAAGGGATTGTATACCTAATTAAAGGAACTGTATGCCAAACTAAAGGGACTGTATACCAAACATAAATTTAAAATCAATCATAAAGAGAAGTTTCATTTTCAAAAACGTCCCAAGGTTAATTTTGTTTGAATGGATCTTTTTAACTCAAAATTAAAGATGTATTTATTTTTAGATCTGACTTGACAGTCCTAGATGACACTAAAGTGTTTGGGTTTGCTGATGATGTTCTTATCATTGGTCTCAGAACAATGTGGCCAGATATTTTTTTCAGGTTATTACAGGGACTGTAAGCGTAATTTCAAGTAATCATAATTTCAAAACGAAAATGATTTGCGCATTTTTACCACAGGAAAACATTCATAAATTATCAAAGATAATCACTTTTAAACGAAGAAAAACCAAAATCTACAATATTTATCTGATAACGGTTTCAAGAGTGTCGTTGTGAATCGGACATTACCATCTCTTCATGGGGGGGGGGGGTAAGTTAAAATTACGCCTACAGTCCCTTAAAGGGACTGTTTACGATTTTCAAAATGCTTTTAATAGTTCATTATTTTGTTTGTTCAACCGTGAAAGAATCTGGGTTCTTCACATAATAGGATAAATATAGTTGATTTGGCTTTCTAGATACTACTCAGTCCACATAATAGAATAAATATAGTTGATTTGGATATCTAGATACTACTCAGTCCACAGAATAGGATAAATATAGTTGATTTGGCTATCTAGATACTACTCAGTTCGCAGAATAGGATAAATATAGTTGATTTGGATATCTAGATACTACTCAGTTCGCAGAATAGGATAAATATAGTTGACTTGGATATCTAGATACTACTCAGTCCACATAATAGGATAAATATAGTTGATTTGGATATCTTGATAATACTCAGTCTGCAGAATAGGAAAAATATAGTTGATTTGGATATCTAGATACTACTCAGTCCGCAGAATAGGATAAATATAGTTGATTTGGATATCTAGATACTACTCAGTCCACATAATAGGATAAATATAGTTGATTTGGATATCTAGATACTACTCAGTCCGCAGAATAGGATAAATATAGTTGATTTGGATATCTAGATACTACTCAGTCCACATAATAGGATAAATATAGTTGATTAGGATATCTAGATACTGCTCAGTCCGCAGAATAGGATAAATATAGTTGATTTGGATATCTAGATACAACTCAGTCCGCAGAATAGGATAAATATAGTTGATTTGGATATCTAGATACAACTCAGTCCGCAGAATAGGATAAATATAGTTTATTTGGATATCTAGATACTACTTAGTCCGCAGAATAGGATAAATATAGTTGATTTGGATAACTAGATACTCTCAGTCCACAGAATAGGATAAATATAGTTGATTTGGATATCTAGATACTACTCAGTCCACAGAATAGGATAAATATAGTTGATTGATACTACAAAAGACCTTTAACGGCTGCATCTTTAATGATTTCATGACCGTTAACAAATTTTTTTGTCGGTGCTTCGCGCCGTTAATAATGTAATAGACCGTTAAAAGCTGGAGCTGTTTAGGATTGTTGAAAATTTTCCTTTAATGTGGTTTATAAAATTGAGATTGTTAATTAACGGTAATTTTAAAAAATCGTTAACGAAAATTTTGTTCTTATCTTTAAAATTAACGACTACCTGAAAATTTTCTGCTTTAACGGTTGGATCTAACCGTTAATGAAACGGCTAGAAAAAGTTGGAACGTGCCAAACCTAGCCTCAAATACTGGTTTACTGTATATCTAGCCTTGAACAAAATTTGGTTCAAGCTGAAACAGAATACTCTAGCGGAGCCAATGTCGTCTTCTCGTCAATGAAGAAATCCACCAACAATATTTTAAATGATGTCCTATTATTATTATTATTGCAAGTGATAACTCATTCCTCTGTTAATAAATGTACTCCCTAAAGTATTAAATATTTTTTAACAATTTTTTGTTGCAGTTTTTTAACAACTTCCTACCTTCTCCCCTTTAGTTGGGAGATTTTTGCTTGGTCCTCAATATGTCTCAGGTAGGGTTTCCAACGCAAATGGATTTTACTTGCGCGCTTTTCCGTAATAATTGCGCTCAATAAAAGCAACGGAATTGCCCGCAATTTAAAGAGATATTTCCAATCTTATATCTACTGTATAAATTTGTAAGTCACAGTTAAAATTAGTGATTTTTAGATGGAAAAGCAATTTCGTTGCACACAATTCCGCACAATTCCGCGCAATTATGTGAAATTCCGCGAATATTTAATTGCTTCTTTGTTCGCAATTACAGCGCAATTTTGTGCAATGAAATGGCGCAAGCGGTTAAGCAATTCCGTGCAACGGAATTCCGATTGTAAACCCTATTCTCAGGTAATTAAAGGAAGTGTTCACATTTTGTATTTTAAACAAATTGAGTCTTTGCTACAAGCTCTGATTTTTAATCTCTTTATGTTTTCAATCCAACGTCCTTACATATTTCAAACTGTAAATTTTTTTGGATCAAATAATCTTAAAATATTTAAGGTTTACACCATCAGGTTGCAAAGATATAGGGATTAGAACATCAGAGTTTGTGGAAAATACGCAATTCCTTTCTTAGACGCCAAATGGAATTTTTTACATGATTAAAAAATAGAATTTGTAATAAAGAAGAGCGGGGGGGGGGTGCATGGCGTAAAATGAACAGGCCACAAAAAATATTATATTATTTTTAGTGTAATATTTTCAATTTTTGTAATTCTGTATTTATCATAAAAACAAGTGGTTTTAATGTTTGGTCATAAATATACATTTGTAAAAAATTATTTATCTATCTAAAAAATGTATAAACAAACTCCATAATGCAATGGATAACTTGTTTTGTTATAAGTCTGACACGCTTTTTTAAAATTTTGAAAAATAAAGCAACTAAAGGAATTTTAGTGTTTCCTTTAATTCAAATAAAGTTAGTTTCAATTATCCTTTACTATAGTGTTTTTGTAAACACCATATAATGGGAAAAGGAATTGCGACTTTGCCACAAACTTAAATTATATAATATAATATTCCGTTAGATTATTTAATCTAACGGAATCTGTAATTTGAAATATCTAAATTCCGCGACATTGGGTTGCAAAGACATAGGGATTATAAAAAGCTCAGTTTCTTTATAAGTTCACCATATACAGGGTGTCCCACAAAACAGTAGATGGAGTTTACTACAGGGTGTACCACAAAACATGAGAGTTGATAAATAGTTTAGAATGCCGTCTCCCATAATTTGGTTATTTGTTCAATACCAAAAATATCATATTGGAGTCCGATATATTTGAGCAAAAGATTTTTAAAACGAAAAAACTGCTTAAAGCCTTTACTATTTAATACAGTGTATGGAAGACGACATCCAAAACTATTTACCAACTGTCATGTTTCGTGGTACACGGTACACCCTGTAATAAACTCCATCTACACAAAGACCAGACTTTTTCTACTTTGAGAAATATATGAATAAATACTAATACTATTAAATAGTTAGAAATAGCTTAATTCATTTTGAGTCTAGGGGTCATTTAGCTATAACAAAGGACATTTATAGCTATAACAAAGGACATTATAGCTATGACAAAGGACATTTATAGCTATAACAAAGGACATTTATAGTTATAACAAAGGATATTTATAGCTATAACAAAGGACATTTATAGCTATAACAAAGAACGTTTAAAGCTATAACAAAGGACATTTATAGCTATAACAAAGGACATTTATATCTATAACAAAGGACATTTATAGCTATAACAAAGGACATTTATAGCTATAACAAAGTACATTTAAAACTTTAACGAAGGACATTTAAAGCTACAACAAAGGACATTTATAGCTATAACAAAGGACATTTATAGTTTTAACAAAGGACATTTATAGTTTTAACAAAGGACATTTATAGCTATAACAAAGGACATTTTTATGGTCAAAAGCTGGCGAAATAATAATTCAAATTCTTTTCTTTTTAGTTTTGCAAATTCCACTGGTATACTCAACTTAGTTAAAGATGGAGAGATTATGAAATTAGAAAATCAGGTAAATTAAAATTTCTAAAGTATCTATTTTCTGTTTTTGTTTTGGTCCATCAGCCTGTTGTTTGTTACAATAAAACCTGATTCCAAATTGAAAAATACAAATAGATTATCAAGTAGAATAAGTGGCAACAGAGAAATGGACCAACATTATACATGACGTCACAAGTGTCAAATATAACAAGGAAGACAACATTTTCTCTCATTAGTTGACATGTTTTCCAAGATTAAATAAAAAAGTGTAAAAGCAGAAAATAAAAAACACAAAGTTGCACTTGTATGATAAGCCCTTTGTTATCACTATTATTAATAATTTTGTCGGACACACTTGTGACGTAAGAATAGAGCTGTACTGTGAGTGTACAAACTCTCAAAGTGATTAAATACTAAAGTGGGCCAAACTCATAGTTGGATGACGACATTTTATGTCCCAAGTATTTAAATATATACAGTTATATATATATATATATATAAATTGGTCTGTATACGGAGTGCACAGTACAACAGAAACTGGACTCCCTTTGTTTACAAACACAGACTTAGAATTTGTATTTAACGTAAATTAAGATTTTAGATGTGAATTTTAGCCATTTTTTGTGATATCGAAAAATAAAGATCTTCGAAATATATCTCTTGGTCTTCACTTTTGTATTTTGACAAATTTAAGAGTAGTTTAGAACTAGACAGACATAGCTTTAAAGACATTAAGAGAGGCGTATTCAGGTTTTGTTATCCATGAAGGGCATACATTTCTTTTTCTTTTTAGGGGAGGCTGGGGCAAAACAAAACTAAGCAGATTTAAAGATAAATTCTTATAGAATTAAAAGTGCAAGCCTGCCAGGCAAAATCAATGAATTTATTAAGCGACAATATAGTATTTGCATATAAAACACATAAAAAACTTACGAAAAATTTTATTTTTGATTATGAAAATTTGGAAGTTCTAGCTAAAGACGACATTTACATTTTTTCTAGTCTTTACTTTCCAAAAGAAATCTTTTCATGCAATTATTTCCAAACCAAATACAATCTTATGGCCCAACCTGTCGTCGTTGCCTTAGTCTGTTCCACTTTAGTATTTATTCACTTTGACAAACTCTATAACGTTGCCATCTCTTGTACTTGATACTCTATTTGAAAAAATTTTATAGATGTTTCAAAATTAAACAATCCGATTCGAGAACATTTTGTTGCTCACGCACCTCTGACCATTCTAAAGTAAATGCAAGCTAAAGTCTGGCCGCGTCAACCTTGTTGCACCGGCTGCTTTATTTACCCAATGTCCGGGCGATACAGTAAAATCTGGGACCGGAAGGGTTGACCCGGCTCGGAAATTCAAATGTACTACGGCTGCCCGTGTGCCTTGATGAGTGGAATGAATCAAATTGTAGCTTAATCTCCAGAAAAATACATCTAAGAAATATGTCTGACAAAATTTCCCTTGCACAATTACGTAAAAATTTGTAAGGTTACATTAAACTACGTCAGCAATCTCGTTAGAAATTACCGTTTTTAAGGAGTGATGACACTTTTAATGCAAGGATTACGTTTCTACGCTAACAATTTCTTTATACAGGATCCTTTAATGTTAAAGACGAACTCCCTCACCAGATTAGCAATTCTAAAGAGCTTCAGGATTGGTCAGTACGCTGAGGATAGGTAGGAAATAGATTTTAGAACCTTTTGTTTTTGCAAAATCAGTTGAAGAATGCAGAGGCTTTCTTTAGTTTATTATTTGAAAAACCCCGGATCCCTGGATCAAGCTAAGCAAAGGAATTGAGCCACAGACTCAAATTTGCTAACCTACCTTTGCAACCTTTGATATTTCAAACTTAGAATATTTAATCTAACAGACCTCATAACTATAGCGTTTAAAAGTTGCCAAAGTGGATATTGAAACCAACGAACTGTAGATTAGCGCTTTCTCAAACAAAAGTCTGGACCTCAGGTTGCAGTTCTCTTTCGCTCTCTGATTGGTGTAAAACATAAAAATAAATTTCTCTAGTCTTTATTTTCGCAAACAGTCAATAACGAACTGTCAAGTACAAACTCTAATTCTCGTGCGAAAGTGGAAATAGAAAAGAACGTACACTGTACTTTCGTCTTCCAAAAGCAGACTCTCTCGTAAGTATCTTTTATTCGAAAAGGCAGCATAACTTCCTTGTGGTGAGGTCATTTAACAGTACATAGTGATCGTACTGTCAAATGACCTCACTACCTTAGAACTGACCTTTTCATTTCCTAAATAAGAGTTTTAACCACGATAAGATTGTAGTATCGTGTACTGCATGTAAACTTCCTTATAGAGAAATAAACCATCCCACTTGAGCGAGTTAAACTATAACCTTTTTAAACACTACGGGGAAGGATGCTTTTGAAATAGAACGTAGTCTATACTAAAAACAGAGCCAAAAATATACATCTAATGAAACTAGCCATATCTTTTATATATTAATAAAGTTTATGACAAACATAATAAAAAGATTACATAATTAGAATTAAGCATATTGTAATACTAGTAATTAATAAAACATCGACAGCGATATTACTCTTTCCAAGTTTTCTTTATAATAACAAAAATTGAATATTGTTAGTTTTTTTTTATCATATTTAAATGTATTTTATTTCAAACTTTAAAGAACCTTTTTCTCTCGACTGTGCAGTTTTGTATTTGTTTTGAATTTAATATAAATATATCTGAATTGAAGATGTACACGAAGGTATTTTAAAAAATTTTCCAGAAACGTTTTTGTCTTTAATGTAAGGAAATGGGTTTGTTTTGAATTCTGCACAGAACTGAATTTTTGTACTGCAGAAACGTACTTATTTTGAATTGTAATCATTTTTTTTCAGAAATATATTTGGCCTGTTTGTTAAAACTGTATAAACATGTAACGTGTTTTGAATTGTACAGATTTGTGTTTTACATATGTACAGAAACCTATGTGTATCGAACGGTACAGAAATGTATGTGTATCGAACTGTACAGCATAGTATATGTGTATCGAACTGTACAACAATGTATGTGTATCGAACTGTACAAAAATGTATGTGTATCGAACTGTACAGGATTTTATGTGTTTTGAACTGTACAGGAATGTACGTGTTTTGAACTGTACAGGATTTTATGTGTTTTGAACTGTACAGGAATGTACGTGTTTTGAACTGTACAGGATTTTATGTGTTTTGAACTGTACAGGAATGTACGTGTTTTGAACTGTACATAAATGTATGTGTATCGAACTGTACAGGATTTTATGTGTTTTGAACTGTACAGCAATGTACGTGTTTTGAACTGTACAGGAATATATGTGTATCGAACTGTACAGCAATGTACGTTTTTTGAACTGTACAACCATGTATGTGTTTTGAACTGTACAGCAATGTACCTGTATTGAGCTGAACAGCAATGTACGTGTTTTGAACTGTACAGAAATGGATTCTCTGGAAGTATCGCTGATTTAAATATCTGGGATAGGGAAATATCTTTGGAGCACATGATAAGGTACAAAGAGGAGAGGGGGGAGGGGGATAGAAAAAATACCCCCCCCCCCCACTTCCCTCCTCTAACATCTAACAACAATATGTATTTTACAAAAATTTGAAATTTTAGGGCAGATTCGAATTTAAAGAAAAAACTGGCAATACGGAGCCTTTAATCTTCATAATTTTTATTCCTTAAAGGGACAGACCGGCTATGTAAGGTAGTTAAACTGAGTATGCAGTGTTGTGGAAAAATTCTTTAGGATTCATATGAGACATATAAAACTTTTCCACGATACGATATAATTACTGAGTTTGAGTATATGAGTATATAGTCGACGTTCAAAATCATGAATTTGGGTGGGTACGTTTTCAGTATCGGGGCTTTTAAATTATTAAACAACGACGACGAATGTAAAGTAAACATTATACAGTAAACTAATTAGATGGTTAGGAACATATTTCTAAAAAGAAATTTGTGAATAATCAATGCTAGAATATAGAGAAAATAGAAACTAATAATTGAATAAGAAAACTTATTTTCGATAATAAGATTAATTTTTATTTTCTGAACCTATTCCTAAACAACTAATTAGTTTGTTGTAGAATTTTGTTTACATTTTTTGTTGTCGTTATTAAATAATTAAAAAAAAAAATTCTGAAAACCCAAAATTGTACGATTTTGGACATCGAATTTGCGCTCAAACTCAGGATTTACAGATCTTTAAAAAGTTTTTTATGTATCAAATGAATCCAAAAAAATTTGTCCACAACACTGCACACTCAGTTCAACTTCCTTACATAGCCGGCCTGTCCCTTTAAAAAGGGGAAAAATAATATAATGATAGTTATAATACATTAATTCTATTTGGCCCTCCATTTATAGAGAATGGTATGTCTGATTCACAATTGCATCTGTAAAAATGACTTTGCGGATTTATGTTGCAGAGAGAATGAGGAAAATTGTGAACATTTTTAACGTTTTTCAAGTTTAGAAATAAACATTATCTTCCTTATTTCTACTCAGATAGAGATTTAAAGTGCACTGTTGTGAATCAGACATGCAAAGTCACTTTACATTACATGGTTACCTTGTCCCATTAAAGTGCACTGTTGTGAATCACACATGCAAAGTCACTTTACATTACATGGTTACCTTGTCCCATTAAAGTGCACTGTTGTGAATCAGACATGCAAAGTCACTTTACATTACATGGTTACCTTGTCCCTTTCAAGTTTTAATAAAAAATAATCTGTTTAATTTTAGATGGACCAAATGCCAGAGTACTGAGGAGGGTACCCTTCTATCCTGGTCTAACAGTCAATGGGAATTAAAAGGTTATTACTCGTATTTTGTATTATTTAACTTTAATTTCGTGTGTCTTTTATTTAATCAGTGACATTTTAATGTCGGTTTTTATTCATTAATTACGCATATGAAAACATTTTAATAGACAACGTTGGATGTTTAGATAATCTGTGAAAATGTTTGAATGCAAAGGAATTGAGTCTTTGCCACAAACTCTGATTTTCTTCACTGTATCTTTGGAACCAAATGTTGCAGACCTTAGATATTTCAAACTATGAATTCTGTTAGATCAAATAATCTGAGTTTGAAATATCAAAGGTTTACAAGTTACAACATAGGAATCTAAAGATATGGAGGTTTAAATATTAGATTTTGTTCCAAAATACTCAATTACTTTTTGCAAATCTGAGCAATTTTGTAGTTTACTAGAAATTCAAGGCGCTTCGCGCCCTTCTTTTCTAGCCTTAGAGGGCGCTTCGCGCCTATCTTCTAAATTAGTTGTGAACATGTTCTCTTTGTGTACATCGTAAAACAAAACAAAAATAATTCGCGGATTTTCACAAAAAATTTCGCGGATTTTCAAAATTTTTAAAAATTTAATGACGATCGAATTTTGATGGAGACAAATATTTGAAATTTTGATTTTTCATAAACCTTCCCTGGGGTCCCTAGATGTCCCACAAAAATTTGGGCCCGATCGGTTCAGCCGTTTTGACGTTTATTGGATAAAAACAGACAAACAAACAAACAGACAGACAAGCCAAATTTATATATAGATGACAGCTTTACAATGACATAAACAGTATTCACTTTATCTGGTCCGGTTCTAACACCGAGAGTTAGAGAATGAGCCAAGTATTAGTTTTGGAACTGTATTTGACTCCCTGCTGTGGTTGAAATATACCTGGATTGACTGGATATGTACAGAATTGTTTCAATTGCCTTGTTAGTAAAATTACTTGTTTTTTCCAATAATTTCCCCAACTCACACGTCCACACGTATACTGTAAATACACACTGTGTCAGTAAACTTGAAAAAAAAAACATTGCAATGGAAAATTTTGAACTTAGCAAGAAACTTAAATACAAAATGTTTAAAAAAAACCTTTTCATCATTGAAAAATGTACATTGCTGCTAGTTTCCAACCAATAAAAGTTCACTCATTAAATGACGCGCCAAATTTCAAATTTCATGGCTTCCTAGATGATTGGCTGTTCTGGTTTTTCCAAACCCCATTCGATTGGTTGAGTTATAACACTATTGTTTATACAAACTTATATTAATCTTGATGAAAAGAGAAGACTAAGATCAAGATTGATCTCGATATCCAAAATTTATAAGTTTTCAGCTCTGGTCTCAACGCGTTTGGCGTCTATTCAGAACCAATGTAGATTGTACACACACATTCTATATCTTACTTTATATCTTTCAAATTCAATTCGATATCTTACTATATCTTCCAAATTCAATTCGATATCTTACTATATCTTTCAAATTCAATTCGATATCTTACTATATCTTTCAAATTCAATTCGATATCTTACTATATCTTTCAAATTCAATTCGATATCTTACTAAATCTTTCAAATTCAATTCGATATCTTACTAAATCTTTCAAATTCAATTTATGTGGCTTTTAGCGCTATATGCAGTAAACGAAATCATCTAGAAGCATTAAAACAAGGGCGATGGAGAAGTTGCCCTTTGGGAAGTTGCCACGGGGAAGTTGCCATTGGCAAAATACTTTTATATTTAGGTTATGAGGAGACCAACAGTACCTTCTCCCAACTCTGTCATTCTGTTGAAAGCCAGGAACTGATCTTCCTGACTAAATCAAGTTATAATCAGGCCAATCATATCTGCAGAAACTTCAACGCCGAAGCAGGTAAAGGAAACGAGTTTTTGTCACAAACTCAAATTGTCTAATCCGTATATTTGCGTAACCTGATGGTGTAAACCTTTGATATTTCAAAGTTGGATGATTTGATCTATAAACAGTATTTATATTTGGAAATATCCAAGGTCTATAATATTGTGTTGGAAAGATTTAAGGATTAAAAATCAGAGTTTGTGCCAAGGACTTTTTAAAACCTGTCTCTGTGTCCATGTGGTAAGTAAGTAATTAATTAATTATTTATTTATGAAATATAACAAAAACATACAGAATTAAGTGTTATAGGAGAAAATATTTCAAACCTCCAAAAAATAGAGGTTGTGGGAATATTTCCCTCCAATTCTAAAAAAAAGGGAAAGGAAAGGAAAAGGAAAGTTACATTTTTATTGTTTACATTACATTTAATATAACTTGTGGTGGATTGTTAGTATAAAATAACAACACTTTTAGAAATAAAAAATTATAAATTTTTTATGTTAAAAAAATAAAACAGGTTCTATGGGTTGAGAAAAAGATAAAGGTTCTACAGAAAATGGGCATTTTAAAGCATCTTTTTAATTTGCGCTGATTTTTGACATCCTTTATGTTTGATCATATCTTTTACTCTTTTTTAAGTTTTGTAAAATTGTTGAAAATTCGAAATAAGATTGATAGTTGAAAGTTTAGAAAAGCGTCGTTTATTTTCATACCATATTTAAAGAAATTGTGATGATTTTACACTAGAAATGTAGAAATCGTTTCTTTTTCTGAGATTTTCATTTTTGATATTTTTTGACAATGTGAAATCTTTTTTGAGTGCCGAGGGTAGTTGACTTCCTTAAAATTGAAATAAAAATTTTCAACATTAAAAATTCCTAATTTTCAAAATGTTCAAAGCTGAAAAAGCTTCCACTGTTTGACTTATTCTAACAAGAATAAACCTGTCGTTTTTTAACATGAGCAAATATTCATGTATCTATTAAAAGTGAATACTAACTATTGAGTAATTATCTCAATTTGAAGATTTATCTTGTTATGTGTTGGTGGATTTCATCTTTGAAAAAGAAGACGACATTGACTCCCGCTACAAGCTCTAATATTTAGAGGTTTGTGAGAACGAGGAGACCCAGAGAAGGATGACAGCTGGGATGGTTTTACATCCAGAGTGTGAGGGTAGATTCTGGTGTGGGATAGATGACTTGGTAAGCCAAGTGCTCAAAGGGATATCGTCATTTTTCTCTCTGGAATAGTGATGATGATTTTTAACAATTTCGGAATCCACAAGTCAGTTTAGAGAACCAAAAATGAAAAATGACCAATTTTCAGATGGAAAAAAAGAATATCTTTATCATTTTTGCACAGATTTCGGTGTTACGGTTATACCGTTATTAAACGGGCATTCTGAAACTGACACGCGGTCTCTTTTAAAAACGAAATTTTTGTTGAAAACAGCGAACTTTTTTTTGTTTTGTTTTTTAATGTACACAAAGAGAACGTGTTCACAATCAAAAAAAAAGATGGGTGCGATCATAAATTCATAACAGTTAGTGAATATAGCTTACAAATAAAATGCCTATTGGGTTTGCAAGATTGCAAGGAGTAAGAAAAAAGGCCGACTAGTTCCGTACAGTCGTCTTTAAAAGTTTCATCCTATAAAGATAAACCTGAAGTATTAATGGATGCAAATTAATAAGATGTGTCATATATCTTGATGAACCTTTAATATATTTCAGAAAGCCTTGAAATTAAAATCCTTAAAAAAACTGTTCCAATTATTTCAGGAGGAGGAGGGTACTTGGGCCAATGTAAACACAGGTAGAGTTCACTATGCTCTCAAGAAAAAATCTATGAGAATTTTGCCAATTACTTCTTAAAAACCAAGCTAAAAACAAGTGCTTTATATTGCTAAAATGTACATGTAACGGGCTTCATTAAAGCTTAATTCTTATCAATTGATGAGACTTTTCGTAAGCAGGCTAATCTAAGTGAGTTATCTGATTGACAGCGGTACCTTGTAACTTTTATCTGATTGACAGCGGTACCTTGTAACTTTTATCTTATTGACAGCGGTACCTTGTAACTTTTATCTGATTGACAGCAGTACCCTTGTAACTTTTATCTGATTGACAGCAGTACCCTTGTAACTTTTATCTGATTGACAGCAGTACCCTTGTAACTTTTATCTGATCAATAATGTTGAAGATATCGTCCCCAAGATATGCCCGAGTGTCAATTTTGTAGAGAAACCAAAAGTGGAAGTAATCAGTTTTCAAAAAAAAAACAAGGACATATATTTAATAGAATGGTTAATGAAATAGAAACGATTTTTGTTCTCAAAAGCTCTTCAAATAAATTCTGACTTAAAATAAATTTTACTTAAATTTTAAATATCACTTAAAAAATGTAATACTTTGATCTAACGTATATTTTACTTTGATTTTACGTGTAAGACGGTATTACCTAAATTTTAAGTGTACTACCTTATATTCCATAATACAAAAAGATATAGACATATAACATTTAGTAAATTGTGTGGACAATAATCCCCCCCCCCATAGCTCTTTAAATAATTTCAATAGTCTCAATTATTGAATCAAAGTTATCATGTGATAATGTAAATGTTATTTTAATTTTTAAGGAAACACAATCGGAAACTTTCGTCCGTGGGGTACAGGGGAACCTAATGGTCTCTTGCAAGAAAATTGCGTTGAAACTAGAATAACATTAAAAGAAGGTAAGTTCGGAGAACTGCGTAGAGACTAGAATAACATTAAAAGAAGTTTATTTTATGAGAACTTCTTAGAGGCTAGAATAACATTAAAAAAGGTAAGTTATAAGAACTGTGTAAAGACTTGAATAACATTAAAAGAAGGTAAGTTAGGAGAACTGTGTAGAGACTAGAATAACATTAAAAGAAGGTAAGTTTATGAGAACTGTGTAGAGACTAGAATAACATTAAAAGAAGGTAAGTGTATCAGAACTGTGTAGAGACTAGAATAACATTAAAAGAAGGTAAGTCTATGAGAACTGTGTAGAGACTAGAATAACATCAAAGGAAGGTAAGTCTATGAGAACTGTGTAAATACTAGAATAACATTAAAAGAAGGTAAGTCTATGAGAACTGTGTAGATACTAGAATAACATTAAAAGACTGTAAGTTTATGATAACTGCGTTGAAACTAAAATAACATTAAAAGAAGGTAAGTTATGAGAACTGCATAGATACTAGAATAACATTAAAAGAAGGTTTAAGTTATAAGAACTGTGTAAAGACTAGAATAACATTAAAAGATTATAAGTGTATGTGAACTGCGTAGAGACTAGAATAACATCAAAAAAATGTAAGTTATGAGAACTGCGTAGAGACTAAAATAACATTAAAATAAGGTTACGTTTATGAGAACTGCGTAGAGACTAGAGTACCATTAAAAGAAAGTAAGTTATGAGAACTGCGTAGAGACTAGAATACCAGAAAAAGAAGGTTACGTCTATGAGAACTGCGTAGAGACTAGAGTACCATTAAAAGAAGGTAAGTTATGAGAACTGTTTAGAGACTAGAATAACATTAAAAGAATGTAATTTATGAGATCTGTGTAGAGACTAGAATACCATTAAAAGAAGGTAAGTTATGAGAACTGTGTAGAGACTAGAATAACATTAACAGAAGGTAAGTCTATGTGAACTGTGTAGAGACTAGAATAACATTAAAAGAAAGTAAGTCTATGAGAACGGTGTAGAGACTAGAATAACATTAAGAAGGTAAGTGAATGAGAACTGCGTAGATACTAGAATAACATTAAAAGAAGGCAAGTGAATGAGAACTGACCTGGAAACTCTTTTGTTGAATACCCTTAATCCCGTTCTCTTAATCTTGATATCCACTGTGGTCACTTTTGATCCTCGCTTTAATTCTCGCTTTTTGATAACCCTGCTGGGTTCCGACCAATGATAGTTCTCTAATATGTGGGCAAAATTTCCTGGCTTCTAATTGGCTACTTGGATTTTTGAATTTTGTGAATTTTAGACGCTTTCTTGGATTGGATTTCAAAATAAAGATTATAATCGATTGGTGGGACGTGATTATTTAGTCTGTATTAAAAAAGTATCTACATTTTACATGTATTAAAACGTGATATTGCAAATAACTAGCAACAAGGGTTTTTAATCGAAATTTTTTGCAAGAAAATCGAGCAATAATTGCACAATTTCGTGCAAAAACTGTGACCTTGTATTCATGCGCAATATCATTCAAAAATTTTGACTTTAATTCTGTATTCATGCGCAATTTCGTGCAAAACTGGCTACGTATTGACACGAAAATGATGGAAAGTTTCGTGCAAAAAGGTCAATTCGTGCAAAACGCGAAACTGTTTCGCAAGAGAATCTACTGTTTCGTGGAAACCCTAGTATAGCTACTAGGCGCTATAATATCACGCATGTTTTTCATGCTACTAAGTTTATAATCTGTTTATATTTTTCAACAAAAGTGCACAGAAAAACACCCTCCCTAGTCCCTACCCTAACCTCTCTATTTACACAACTCAGAAAAATATTTATTCACATCCTCATGGTTTCTGAGCAACTCTACTCTCAGAAAAGGTGCACTTGAAACGAAACTATAATCATTGTTAAAGGAGAAAAAAGAAAAAACAACAAAACTAACTTTTCGTGAAAAACTAGATTTTTTTTTAATACTTTATGAAAATATATTTAAATTTTTCTATGCTTTAATTCTCTATGTAAATGACAAATTACAACTTTTTAAAATGCACTTTTGGGAGTAGGATCGAGCGGGGACATTTCACTGTAAAAATGTACATTTGGGAAGTTACTTTCCTCTGTAACTATTCATTTGGGAAATTAAAATAGGAAAAATTAATTTGGAAAACTGATTTTTGACAAATTCTTTTGAAAAATGGCGTTAATAAATACCTTTCATTAAGATTCTCCCAGCTACCTATGGAATGATGCTAACTGTGAGAAAAGTCAGCGATGTTTTTTCTGCCAGCTTCCTCAAGAACCGGTTCTACATCTTAGGTGAACACTACAGGGTGAACCAACAAACAGGGGAATTAATTTTACAATTTGTAATTATTTTATTTTTCATATTTATAATCTATGTATATGATAAAGCTCTTAGCTCATATAAATATATGTTAGCTCTGGCTGGCCAAACGACTGGACCGAATGGGCTGATTTTTTTGAGGGAACCCTCGAGTTCCCCGGGGGGTAAAAAATTCGAAATATTACTTTCCTCAAAAATTCTGATTTTTTTTCAACAATTTTTCTTTTTTCAAAATTCGATTTTAAAAATGTCACAGGAACGCTGGGCATTTCAGCTAGTATTTATATAAAATACAATGGCCGGTTGTGTTTATAAACTAACTGGCATATATCATCAATTTTAAAGGTACAAAACAGGCAAAACAAATTTTGTAATTCCAAAATGAAGGAAATATTTACTGTCAAGACTGATTTGATTATTTCATTTCCAAAAATAAAAATATTTTTGTGCAGGTATTTTTTGTCGGTTTAAATTCTCATGTTAACTGAGTCACCCTGCAATTTAACACAAAGATGATACTTGACTACATGACAATAACTCTCATCAAAATACAGAAATTCCGTGATGCGTGTTTACTGATATGTCTTTGTACCCTTATAACGCCTCCAATTCAAATAAATTTTTGAAAATGAAATTCTGTGAACTTAACTCAAACCTGGGGGGGGGGGATGTTGCACCCCTCAAACACCCCATTTAGAACAGCAAACTAATATTTTTATGTTCTTCGCTCTTTAGTATAAGATTTGAAAATTTTGATAGCTCTGAGTTCTAGGGGGGAAGGGGGGGCTATGCCCCCCACATTCACAGGTCTGGGGGGAGGCATTGCCCACCTTGCCTCCCCCCTGTATACGACCTTGAAAATATTTTTATTTTCAGGGGGGTTTCATCGTGCGATTCAAACTACTTTGATATAAAGGTACAGTATCAACTTTTTTAATAAAAAAGATAATAATTAAAATTTAAAAAAAAATTTTTTACCAATAATTTTTTAAGTACAAGAGATCATCTTCCCTCTCCGGAAATAAATATATACTAAGGCAGGATAAAAAATATATTATTTATTGAAAGAAATCCAGTTTTTAGAGCAAAAACTGGGACTTTTAAAGGAACTGTGAAGAAAATGAAAGGGGGTATAGACTAGAACCTGAGAATCTCAGGAGTTGATTGAGACATATAAGAGTTGTATCTGATGTTCCTGTCTAGAGAAATTGATATAAAACTGTGTAAAAATTATACCAAAACGTATATATGTAAGATTTTGTATAATATTCGTAGTATTAACCAGATCATATTCAACAAATACGCAACCAATCTAAAAATAACGATATCTTAGAGGAGCCTGAGAAACTCATGTTTGATCCTATTATTATTTGTATTTAATAATTTTTCATTTTTAATAGATATAATTGATACTTATTAATGCGTTCTAAACATTTCACCAGAACTCCAACCAATGACAGTGCAGTCTCAGTCTCCGTCTGTATCACGTGACCAGTATACTGTTCTGCCATTGGAGGGAGTTCTGGTCACATAATACGGACGTATATCTTACATGTATACGTTTTGGTATAATATTGACACAGTTTTATATCAATTTTTCGAGACAGGAACATCAGATAGGAATCGTTCAACTCCTGAGATTTTCAGGTTTTATCTATACCCCGTTTCATTTTTCCTTTACAGTCCCTTTAAAGCTATTACCGGAGTCTCATGTTCAATTCACATCCTTAGCCTCTAAACCTTAATCTATTTAGCTCAGTACCAATGAGGAATGTAACGTTAATTTTCTGTATTGAAAATTGTAGTATTCGAACAATTTCCTTCCAATTCGTTTCTGCTGCTGTAAACCAACCGAGTCGATTTTACTGAGAAACCTCAATTAAAATGATTAAATAGAAAAATTAAGATATCTTAATTTATGTTGATCATTCAAAGTTTAATAAAGGGCACCGTGAATCAGACATTCCACTCCATGAATAGAGAGTCAATTACGCCATCAGTCCCTTAAATTTGAACTAGAATGTTAACCTAATTCAACCGAATTTCAAAACTTTTTCCCAATTTTATTGTTTTAAACTAAGAGAAACTTTCTACCAATTTTATCTTTTTGAACCCAAATTTTATTGCATTTTTTTTGGAATAAAAAGAATAGAAAAAGATGACAATAATCAATTTTTGAATTCTTTGATTCTGCTCCACGGTTAAAGTGGGTATACTGGGTCAGAAATCACTTGGAATGAAACAGGGAGATCATGGATTTTGACCTCCAGGTAAACTTTTTGGAAGTTTATTGACCTCCAGGTAAACATAATGGAAGTTTATTGACCTCCAGGTAGGTAAATATAAGGGAAGTTTAATGACCTCCAGGTAAACATAATGGAAATTTATAGACCTCCAGGTAAACATAATAGAAGTTTATTGGCCTCCAGGTAAACATAATGGAAGTTTATTGACCTCAAGGTAAACATAATGTAAGTTTATTGACCTCCAGGTAAATAAAATGGAAGTTTATTGACCTCCATAGAAACATAATGGAAGTTTATTTACCTTCAGATAAACACAATGGAAGTTTATTGACCTCCCGGTAAACATAATGGAAGTTCATTGACCTCCAGGTAAACATAATGAAAGTTTTTTTGACCTCCAGATAAACATAATGGAAGTTTATTGACCTCCAGGTAAATGAAATGGAAGTTTATTGACCTCCAGGTAAACATAATGGAAGTTTATTGACCTCCTGGTAAACATAATGGAAGTTTATTAATATAACCTTTGCTTTTATTATTTCTAAACTAAACAAAACATGTGATGTAACAAAAATGTTATTTCTTTTTACAAGAGTTTTTGTAAACGAACTTTCTATTTTTTCCAAATGTTATATTTAGATATCAAGTATTATCCAAACAGTTCTACCTTGTTTTTACTGAATTATATTGATTTAGGACTAAAGATCCTGAAGTTTATGGGACATTCACCCATTTGGTATCCCAGTACCCATTCGGGAGACATCAATGGAAGTTTTTCAACCCTCATTGTTTGGAGGTAATTTTTGGTTTAGGAGAGACTACATGTTTTTTGCAAATTAAGTCCAATGCATGTTCCAAATCTGTTGAAAATCTCCATGTTTTCAGAAAGGTTCTATGAAAGTTTTTTTGGTTATCAATAGATAAGATGCGTATAAAAGTGAGACCGATAAAATTTTGGAATAGGCAGACGACATTTAAGCAATCTTATTTGTGTTTCTTGAAAACTAACTTTTTCATTTGAGTTGTTTTGTGTCCACAGCACAATTGTTCTTTACTCTAAAGTCTTAACTAGCGTCTAATAATCATTGTGAACCATTATATGCGAGCTTATACGCAAAATTTGATCAGGTCTTTGCCCATTACTCCTTTTAAACTGAGGCTAGAGGCAAGGATATTGCAGTTTTAAAATAAACATGTCAAAGGCTACATTAAAGTTGGTGAGTTGGTGTTCCCCCCCAAAAAATGATCGGATTGTAGAAATATTCTGACGCACAACATTATAATGTTTTTTTTTTCGTCGACCGAAAAATGAAAATTATTCTCCAGTCTGTGGTTGGGCACTATTCCTTGCTTGCTAGATAAATTTAATGAAAATATTTTAATTATTAATATTTTCAGGAAAACCTGAAAACCCTCCACCTGACAGCCTGTGGTCCAGACAACTTTAACTGCAACGACGGCACATGTGTCAGTTTATCCCAGGAATGGTTTCAACTTGATTTTCCGATCCCGCCAATCGCCATTTTGTTTTAGTGAAAATTGTCATTTATTTGAATTGTAAACGTATTTTCTTTTGCAGAGTGTCATGTCCGATTCTCAACGGTTCCTTTGAAAGCTTTGTTTCAGTAAAAATGACTAAAATATGCTAGCTTTTCTTGCTGAAAATTGATTCTTTACAAATGTAGTTTTTCAAGAGGATTTATGCAGTACAGACTCTGAAAGTAATTGTAACAATTTAACTCTTTAAAACCGACGAATTGTCCCTCAAAGTAATTGAGTTTTTGTCACAAATTGAAATTTTCTAATCCCTTTATCTTTGCAACCTGATGGTGTAAACTTTCATTATTTCAAACTTAAATAGTTTAATCCTACAAAATTCATAGTTTGAAATATCTAAGGTCTGCGACTTTGGGATTAGAAAGTCATAGATTGTGGCTAAGACTCAATTCCTTTTTACCAAGATAAAGATTAAATGGGTACCGTTGTTAACTGAACATGGTACTTGAAATTTCGTCAACATCAATTTCTAAACTATTGTTGAGAAAACTATAATTAGAGATGTAATCTTGAAATGGATTGTCCAGACAGGTAAATGACTTATTTATTGGTGGTTGGTTGGTTGATTGATTGATTTATTGGTTGATTGCTTGGTTGTTGGTGGATTGATTTATGGGTTGATTGCTTGGTTGATTGATTGATTGATTAATTAATTGTTTGATTGATTGATTGATTAAAAGGACAATGCTGATATCTCAAATAGACTGTAATGTTTCCAAAATAAAAACAATTAATTTTAGATTTTATAGAAAAAAATTCTTACTTTTTGAAGACTCACATTAATACATGTTCGAATTCTTTTAGCTTTTCTTTCATAAAAGTACATTTGTAATCATAACTATTCCTATATTTAAACAAATAACTTCAGTTTAGCTTTCAATAGATTTAAAGTTTGGAATTTATTCAATTTTTTCCTTTAATTTACGGTTCCTGCGGCTGTAATCTTATTTATTATTTCAAGAAATGAGACTGTTTATCCTTTAAAACAATTTTAAAGTTTTATCTTTGAAAGGAAACTTGAGCTGAAAAACTTTATAAGTGGATACAGTGATAACCAGAAAACTCTGGAAAAGGAAGACGACTTTTAGGCTCAAGTTATGACTCTAAAAAGTCCAATGAACATGAGACACAGGAATTGTTGAGTGTAACCCATTTGACTTAATTAGTAATTTTATAAGTGATGATGTAAAACAACCTCAAGTATTGTTACAATGTCGTCTTCTTATTCCATTGTTTGCTGGTTATAACTGTACCCTTAATCCTGATCGCTTAATCTAAATATACAATGAAACCTATTCGAGCCTTTTTTTTAATATGAATATTTTAACGTTATATTGAGTTATGTTAACGTTATATTGAGTTATGTTAACTTTATATTGAATTATGTTAACTGTATATTGAGTTATGTTAACTTTACATTGAGTTATGTTAACTTTATATTGAGTTATGTTAACGTTATATTGAGTTATGTTAACTTTACATTGAATTATGTTAACTTTATATTGAGTTATATTAACTTTAAATTGAGTTATTTTAACTTTATTTTGAGTTATGTTAACTTTATATTGAGTTATGTTAACTTTCTATTGAGTTATGTTAACTTTAAATTGAGTTATTTTAACTTTACATTGAATGATGTTAACTTTATAGTGAATTATGTTAACTTTATATTGAATTATGTTAACTTTACATTGAGTTATGTTAACTTTAAATTGAGTTATTTTAACTTTACATTGAATTATGTTAACTTTAATGGCAAATTATATCACGTTTCTCTTGAGTTATCAACAATGTATCTGATAATAATAAAATGTTATTATTCAAATTAATTCTTCAAATCTGCATATTTCAGGAGTGATGAAATGGACTGTACATTTCTTGATATTCCTAGGTAAAGATAGAATACAAACTGAACAAACAAACTGAAAAACTTGCATCAAACTTAACACCCTTGATACTTATAAATTTAGCTTTAAGATTTAACAGAATTCAGAATTTCAAATATTAAAGATCAAACGAGATCCGGTTTTATGACGAGAGTTAATTCAGTATAGTATGTAAGAGATATTTACAGAGGACATGAGATATCAGAAATTGAGCTAACACTCAAACAAACCCAAGCTGAAAACATAATATTCTCTATAACCATTTATTTTTAGAGTTTTAAAATTTAAAAATAAATTTTTCTGTTCCAAACACCTCTTCTTTCCCACATATATTAAGAAAAAGAAATATCTTTTTAATAATTTGTATTTATTTTTTTTAAATGTTCCCCGTTTTGTAAAACAAATGTTCAACATTTTTCAGATGGTATATATATATTTCAGGTGGTATTTGCCGGATATATACATATGTATATATTTCAGATGGTATTTGCCGGATATATATATATATATATATAATTTTCAGATGGTATTTGCCGGATATAAAACCACCGCCATTAAAGAAGGAACAAAAAACTAAGGTGTAGCATTTTAAAATTTAAATTTTTTTTGATAATTTTATTTCATGAAATTTTATTCTTTTCAAATATCTTTTTTAAGATATCAGCACACATCTTGGCGAAAAATACACAACTTTTTATTTAGACAAAAAAAAAATAAAATAAAATTTACGTTACGATTTTGTTCGTAGAATGAGATTGAAGTTCGAGTATTTGTTCTTCAAATCCTAGATATCGACATTGTCAAGCTTACTTTCCAAACTCAGTTTAGGTATGCACATTTTTCCAAACTCAGTTTAGGTATGCGCATTTTTCCAAACTCAGTTTATGTATGCACATTTTTGAAAACTCAGTTTAGGTATGCACATTTTTGCAAACTCAGTTTAGGTATGCACATTTTTCCAAACTCAGTTTAGGTATGCACATTTTTGAAAACTCAGTTTAGGTATGCACATTTTTGCAAACTCAGTTTAGGTATGCACATTTTTCCAAATTCAGTTTAGGTATGCACATTTTTCCTAATTCAGTTTAGGTATGCACATTTTTCCAAACTCAGTTTAGGTATGCACATTTTTCCAAACTCAGTTTAGGTATGCACATTTTTACAAAATTTACAGTATCTTTAAAGGGAGTAAAAAATATTAATTAATAATAATTAATATAAACTATATACGAATGCTTCGAAAAAAATCGATGATTATAGGTTGTATAATGTATGAATGATTTGTTTGGAATTAAATTTTTTTTTTTACGATCCCAGTTGAATATTGCAACTTTTGAATTTGTATGAATGCTATAGTTCTTTGGTATGTCAGTTTGAACAATTTTCTACTTATAGACGCATACAGACAGATGTACAATTAGTAGAAATCACCATAGAATGTTTTTAGACGAAAGTCTACACCCTCTTTAATTTTTTCGCGAACACTCTCTTTAAGCGCTGACTTTTCAATCATACAGATAACAGCATAAGTTTGAAACTTACATATATATGTTCTTTAAAATATTAGAAAAAAAGAAAGCTTACTTTTCACTCACTAATGAAAACCAATATAAAAATATTGAACATTTTGCAAACACTTCAGAAATACAAACATTTTTGTAAAAATGCCAAATTGGAAGCATTTTTCAATAAACAATTATAGGAGAAACTTTAAGTGTAGATTTTCATCAAACAGGAACTCTAGAATTAAACACAAGTGGCAATTCTAGTTCACTGTTATATTTTTATATATTTTAGTTCACTGTTATAATTTTATATATTTTAGTTCACTGATATATTTTTATATATTTTAGTTCACTGTTATATTTTTATATATTTTAGTTCACTGATATATTTTCATATATTTTAGTTCACTGATATATTTTTATATATTTTAGTTCACTGTTATATTTTTTATATATTTTAGTTCTTGCTTTATCAACAAAAACGGGTTAAGTATTATTAAATTTTAATGTTTCAGGGAAGACCTCAAGATTTTCTGTATACCGGAACCATTTAATATTTTACCGACTTTTAGAATTTATAATTCACATTTTATATTTATGTGTAATTTTTACGAATTTTGTTGAGAACAAAATTTTCATATTTTCATTTCTTAAACTTTTCAATGGAGTTTAAAATGTATTTAGGCAGTTTTTTTTTATTTTACTGAAAGAAATAATTCTCAAAGTTGATTTTCAGAATGAGCTAAAAATCGACTCTAACTTGTCAGATTTTTAATTATTGTCGTCTTTGGTCTTTCTTTCAATTTAAGAATTATATGTCTGCAAACTTCAAGGGCTAAATTTACTGAATAACGAGATGTAGCTGAACTGCGCGTTACTTCAAGCTAAAAATTGAAAGGAAGTATGTAGTTAAACTCTAGTCCATCATTTCAATAAAGGAACTGAATTTTTGCCACAAAATCAATCATTCTCATGTCTGTATCTTCGTAACCTAAAAATGTAAACCTTTGGCATTTCAAACTTAGAATATTTGATTTAACAAAATTTATAGTTTGAAATATTCAAGGTCTAACATTGGATACCCTAGATATGGGGATTAGAAAATCAGAGTTTGTGGCAAAGGCTCAATTCCTTTGGTTCTAGGACACATTTATTAATTTAATATTCGTATTCAGGTTGGATATGCACTGGTATGATTCTCGGTTGTCTTTCCGAAATCTCAAGTCAGACCAGTTTAATAACTGGGTAACTCAGGTAGAGAATAGGATAATGTTGTCCTATCTGAACCTTTATGAAGCTTTAAGAGATGTCATTGTAATTTAAATCACTCTCCATTATAAAAAGGGCCCTGCCCACTTAACAATATTTATTGAATCAATAATATGAAATTTATTAGTGTGAAAAGTGTTTAATTCTGGCATTTTTGTCCATTGTTTTTGTAGCATAAATCCGCAACATAACCCGCAATTGAAATATTTTTCTAAGAGAGAAAATGGATATCTCATTTGTTCTTGATCGATGATAGGAAGGCCAGCCACAACTATTTCTCGCCCGAGCCCCCTCGGAATCCTCGTCCTTCGATTATAATGAAAGTTTCCAATTCTTGAATAAAAAGACAATTTTTAAAAAATCGTGTCATGTTAAGGGATAAAATATGGATGGACTAAAGTATTGCAATAATTACATCATGTTTAATGGGAATGATGTCAAACTTTATTTAGGTAAAACTTAAATCTCATCTGCCTCCGTAATGGCTAACCTTCCCGATATAGAGTAAATATTTGGCAAACCTCTCCCTATCATGGAACCACCCGGAAAAATTTTATGGTTTTCACTATAATCAATAAAAAAAATTGTAGTTCTATAAACTCGGAATTGTTTGCGGCATCCTACATCCAGGAATATATGAAAATGCGCTTATAAAAGCTTAAACTTGAAACCTTAATTCAATTGAAACTTTTTTTTCGATTTACAAACATTTGATATTTCATTTATGCCCTAACGTGGCTCGATTCTTTAAAAATAGTTTTATCTGGGAGGATATTTTGAAAAAATAATATTGAAAGGACGAGAAATTCGAGGTGGCTCGAACGAGAGAATGGGGAGAATGTGGCTCGAACGAAAAATTGTTGCGGTAGGCCTTCCTCCCTCTTTGATCGGACTTAGCTTTTCATGGGTTACTTATGAATTGAATATGTTGTTTTATAGAATTAGCGAGGGACAAAATATTTTTAAAAAGGCGAGAACCGTCGTGCCAAAATAATAGTTTTATAGGTAATTTTATGAAACGTTTGTGCACTTTTCTTATTTCAATGGCCCTTTTAAATCAAATAAGCTTTAAAACAAATCATAAGTCAAAATATAAAGTTGATTTCAATTTAATTTTCATTTCAATTGAAAAAAATATTTTGGAAATATCCCAAAATTTTTTGGAGAAAATCCGGGAACCACTCAAAACTTTATAGCACACGTGCTATAATGTACAGGCTACAGCTAACTTAACTTTATAGCACGTTCATTATGAATGATGAAGTGAAGAAGAATGATAAAGTACACTATAGTTTCATAATAATTCCTAAAACCCTGGCCTTTTTAATAATCTTTTTTAAACTTTAGCATACTATTTACCCACCTTTTGCGGTGTTTTTTTTTGACATGAAAATTAACATAAAAACATCCAATATCTTTGCTTAATATGAATCTTCATATTTTAATCTAGTTTAGAATCTATTAATCTAGAATGAGTCTAAGTCTATCTATATATTTATTATTTATAATGAATATAAATTTATATACATATCTTTAATGAACCTAAATCTATCTTTATTTATCTAGAATAAATCTGAATCTATCTATATATATCTAGAATAAATCTTTATCTATCTATATATATCTAGAATGAATGTAAATCTATCTATATTTATCTATACACTAAATCTAGAATGAATTTAAATCTATCTATATTTATCTATACACTAAATCTAGAATGAATTTAAATCTATCTGGGTTCCAACAATCAAGTTCCAGAACACAGAATCCCTCCTCACAACTATTAACGATAACAAGGTTTGACATTTTAATAAAATTGGCTTTTAGGACGCTTCGCGCCCATCTTCTATTTCAACTTTTAGGACGCTTCGCGCCCATCTTCTATTTCAACTTTTAGGACGCTTCGCGCCCATCTTCTATTTCAACTTTTATTTGGGGTTCTATCTGTATCTTCTCTTTGTACAGTATAAAACATAACAAAAAAGAAGTTCAGAGAATTAAAAATATTTTGAAATTTAACACAAATCAAAAACTTTTGGACACCAATTTTTGTAATTTTGAGCATCCATAAACCTTCTATGCGGTCATGTGAGGTCCCATACAAAATTCGGGCCCGATAGGTTCAGCCGTTTTGACGTTTATTGGATTCAAACAGACATATAAACAGACAGACAAACAAGCAAGTGTATATATATATATAGATTATGTTTTATATTAAGAGGATCCGATGTTTTATAAAACCAAAACTATTGTCAAAGGAACGAAGTTTTTGTCACAAACTCTACTTTTCTAATCCATTTATCTTTACTACCAAATGTCGTAGACCTTTGATATTTCAAACTATGAATTCTGTTAGACCAAATATTCTAAGTTTGAAATATCAAAGGTTTACATCATCAGATTGAAAAGATATACGGATTAGACAATTTGAGTTTGTGACAAAAACTCAGTTCCTTTCAGTCTTTTTTTAACATCCTTGTCCCCAGAAATCTTGATTATATTTAACGAAATTGATGCAATGGATCGAAGTGAAAATCATGTTTTTGAATAATTTTGAAGTTAAGAGATTCCATCGGATCTACTTACTTTTAATCTCGTTTTCAAATATTTTGACAGTTTTCATCTAATTCTAATCATGAACATGTTTTGAAAAGTACATTCAAATATTTAAACATTGTACTTCAGATCTTTTCTTTGAGAAACTGTTAAACTAAAAAATTGTTTAAAAAAATATATTGAATTAAAGTCTAACATTTTTTAAAAAACAAAATGATGAATTTAAAACACTTTTGCTTTTTTGAATAACATATTTTTAATGAGCTGCTTAACAGGTGTTACAATATATTATACTTAAATCTTTAATCTCTAAATTGTTTAAACACAGTTTGAATTATGATCCTAAAAAAAAAAAGTCATTTATAAATAAAATTTTTTAATTGAATACTATTAAATACTAATTAGCATCAGAATGAGAAGCTCTAGAAATTCTACACGTCAATTAAGTTAAAAAGAGAATTATTAAAGGAAATAAATCTATTTGTAAAAAAAACACTTTTTGTTTCCGACCCAGTGTACTCTTCTTTGATGAATGTTTATGAGCTCATCACCTTCTCTGTTTATGTTATTTTCTCATTAATTTTCCAGTTTCAAGGTTGTAACATTTGTATTTTCAACTATACCATATATTTATTACATCATATTATATACTTTATACAGAGCAAATACATTATATATTACAATAGGTGGCAACAGAGAAATGGACTGATTATACATGACGTCACAAGTGTCAAATATAACAAGGAAAACATTTTCTCTCATTAGTTGACATGTTTTCCAAGATTAAATAAAAAAGTGTAAAAGCAGAAAATAAAAAACACAAAGTTGCACTTGTATGATAAGCCCTTTGTTATCACTATTATTAATAATTTTGTCGGACACACTTGTGACGTAAGAATAGAGCTGTACTGTGAGTGTACAAACTCTACGTTGTCATCTATTAAACTTGATACTCTAAGACAGAGTATTCAATTTTCAGATAGTAACAATTGTATTTTCAATTATACCATATATTTATTACATAATACTCATAATACTGTATACATTACACAGTATGTTCAATTTCAATGTAGTAACATTCGTATTTTAAACCATACCATATATATATATATATATTACATCATACTGCTGTAATGAATATCGTGTAACCCTAATATCTGTAAACCTTAACTACGTTGTACATTATTAATTATCTACGTTTGAAAATAGCTAAGTAAAACTTATATCCTGACTTATCTTAACTGTGCTGTAAATAACTACGTAACATGATTTATCTTATAACGACGTAAAACCTGTATCAGGTAGCTTAATTACGTTTGTATATAACTATTTAGAACTTTACGTTGATCAACTTAACTTGTAACATAGAACCCAAAATACATTTAGTTGGAACTAATCAGCTTTGATTATGGTGTGAGAGTAATTACTTCTTGGTTAGTGAACGAGAAACGTCCTGAATCACTTTCTTGAAAGAAAAATATAAATTGGGAATTGATATGGATAAAGTCGTGTCCGGATTGACATTGATAGTAAAGTATTGATGAACGGAATAGTTCTTATGCCTCGTGGATTAACGAGAGGGATTGAGTTGTACCTGGATTGATACAGGTCTTAAAGTATTTATTGGAGTGGGGCATTTAATACAATACTACATACATTACACAGAGTGTTCAATTTCCAGGTTGTAACATTTGTATTTTAAACATTATATTACATCATACTATATACATTATACAGAGTTTTTTTTACATTACTTACATGTTTTTTCAAGCTTTATTCCATTTATAATATATATCTAATATCTTTCACATTGCATCACACCTTAAAAGATATGCATTGAAATGCTTATGTATAAATGAAAAATAAACTGCGCAAATAACTTTCTCTCCATTTCTATAAACATTAAGTTTTAACATATTTATATTCTTTGTAAGAGCCACACAAGCCAAAAGTTAAAAATAACTATTGTTTTTTCGGTCGCACATTATGTCCGCGCAAAAAAGTTACTGTATGTTTTCTTCATTACTTTGGTTATGCAATAAAATGCTTGCATAGAATAAAATGGGAGAATAGTTGTTTTTCAAAACATGATGACATTTACAAATTAATCATTTTGTTAATTATTTTTTTGTTTATTTATAATTAGCTGGACTGAGGGAGTGTATTGTGTTAGCTAAGTGTATAATATTGAAAATAGATATTTTTTTATAAAGGTTCAAGGTGGGCTTCTTATGTCACGAATGTTTATAAACACTAGAATTAAAGGGCGCTTGGATTACAACATTTTTTAACGCAACATTTATTTGAATTTTTAATATTTGCCCATTTCTATACTCAAGGATTCCTGATCTATTCCTATACCCAGCTCCTTGATATAATCCTATACCAGCTCCTTGATCTAATCCTATACCCAGCTCCTTGATCTAATCCTTTACCCAGCTCCTTGATATAATCCTATACCAGCTCCTTGATCTAATCCTATACCCAGCTCCTTGATCTAATCCTATACCCAGCTCCTTGATCTAATCCTATACCCAGCTCCTTGATACAATCCTATACCAGCTCCTTGATCAAATCCTATACCCAGCATCTTGATATAATCCTATACCCAGCTCCTTGATCTAATCCTATACCCAGCTCCTTGATCTAATCCTATTCTCAGCTGCTTGATCTAATCCTATACCCAGCAACTTGATCTAATCCTATACCAGCTCCTTGATCTAATCCTATACCCAGCTTCTGGGTCTAATTCTTTACCCAGCTTCTCGGTCTAATCCTACCCAGCTTCTTGAGCGAATCCTATACCCAGCTCCTTGATCTAATCCTATACCCAGCTCCTTAATCTAATCCTATACCCAGCATCTTGATCTAATCCTATATCCAGCTCCTTGATCTAATCCTATACCCAGCTCCTTGATCTAATCCTATACCCAGCTCCTTAATCTAATCCTATACCCAGCTCCTTGATCTAATCCTATACCCAGCTTCTTGGTGTAATCCTATACCAGCTCCTTGATCTAATCCTATACACAGCTTCTTGATGTAATCCTATACCAGCTCCTTGATCTAATCCTATACCCAGCTTCTTGATCTAATCCTATACCCAGCTTCTTGATGTAATCCTATACCAGCTCCTTGAACTAATCATATACCCAGCATCTTGATCTAATTCTATACCAGCTCCTTGATCTGATCCTATACCCAGCATCTTGATCTAATCCTATACCCAGCTTCTTGATCTAATCCTATACCCAGCTTCTTGATGCAATCCTATACCAGCTCCTTGATCTAATCATATCCCCAGCATCTTGATCTAATCCTATACCAGCTCCTTGATCTAATCATATACCCAACATTTTGATCTAATCCTATACCCAGCATCTTGATCTAATCCTATACCCAGCATCTTGATCTAATCCTATACCCAGCTTCTTAATCTAATCCTATACCTAGCTTCTTGATCTAATCTTATGCCCAGCTCCTTGATCTAATTATATACCAGCTTCTTAATTTAATCCTATACCAAGCTCCTGGGTCTAATCCTATACCCAGCTTCTGGGTCTAATCCTACCCAGCATCTAGATCTAATCCTATACCCAGCTTCTGGGTCTAATCCTACCAAGCTTCTGGGTCTAATCCTATATCCAGCTTCTTGGTCTAATCCAATACCCAGATCATTGGCCTCTATTATTGCGTATGGAAGAATATAAAAAGTATTGGTATTGGGTTGACTGAAAAGCATAAATACATGCACAAGTATAGCTGGGTAAAAGCACTCAAACTGTCAAAATTGTTACTTCCAGTTATTGTATTTATTAAATATAATTTGTTGGATATGTATTGTAACAATAATATGAAGAAACCATATTTCTTCATAGTAAAGAAAAGCATTTAAGAAAATATATTTTTGCAAGTGTAAAATAAATATTATTTAATACAAAACTAATAACGTCTAGCCAAGGTTGATTTTTCCGTTGCTAAACTATTTTTGTTTTTCAAGGCTCAATTAGAAAGTGCAAGTTTTATCTATTCCAGGGATTTGAGAGGACTTTGGTTACCTCAACTCAAAAATAATGTTTGACGGACACTGTTATACTGTAACACTCCAGGTTCTCGCCGATTTAAACATCATGTTCAAGAAAAACACACGTAGTTCTCCACCATAGATAATTAATCAATCAAGGGTATAAAGGGTACCATTGTGAATCCAGCGTTTCACTCTTCGAATAAAGGGTTAATTAAAATTACGCTTACAGTTCCTTTCATTGGAAGTTGCCAATTATTACAAATTCCAATGCGAAGTGTTTATTCAGTAATTGATTGATTGATTCAATTGGCACTATCAATTATATCCACACAACTCAAATATGTAAATATTACCCTTTAAAGGGAGTGTTCGCGAAAAATAAATGGGGGTATAGGCTTACGACAAAAATAAGCGCGTTTGATCGCTACTAATCTTACTTCAAATCTGTTGCGTCTATATAAGGGTATAAAAGCCCCGCTTTGAGCCTAAAGTGAGTGGCATATGTTAGTTTGAAAAGCCAAAAAATTCAAACAGCCTCAGAGTCAGACCATTACTTTTTGAGATACCTTCAAAAAACGTCGGGTGAGGGGGGGGGGTGGTTAGCCGGAATAGGGTTAACCATATTTTACAATCTTCCCCTGATTTGTTTATGGAAAGGCACTCTGGAATTATACAGCGAAGAAAGCTAGAAAATAGATACAAATTGTTCCATGATCATGAATCATGATCTATAAACGTTTATGCTATACAACTTTAAATGGTATTTATTTTTATGATTAGATACTAGTAAAGGTAATATTTCTTATTTCTTGTTGACTACAGTTAACTGTTCAGGCCTCTGTGACGATAAAGAAACTAGGAAATCAGACAACAAACAATTTGGAAACACTGGGTACAAACAATAAAAAATATTTTTGTAATTGATTGACAAAGGAAATGGGTCTTTCAATATTTCTTTGCAACCAATTGTCTTATACCTTGGATATTTCAAACTATGAATTCTGTAAGATCAAATAATCTAAGTTTGTAATACAAAAGGTTTACGAAATTATGTTGCATAGATTTAGAGATTAGAAAATTTATGTTTCTGGAAAAATCTGAATTCATTTTAGAATCAAAAGGGACTGTCAATGTAGTTTTAAGTGATTTGGAGTTGCACACCCTAGTCACATTGGCCTCTTCTAACACTTCTATCTGAGAAGCAATTAAAGAGATGTTGCCGTTTTAATGTTTTTGTTTGAATTCTGACATTTTTACAGAGAAAACTTAATGGAAAATTGTTAATTTTGAGACATATAAATATCATATAAATATATATATATATATAATATATATATATATATAAATATCTATATAATATATATATGTAATGACACTTAAAATTGCGTCTGCAGTCCCTTTAAGTCATTTTAAGAAAGAAAACAAATAGAAAAAATCACTGTGGTCTTTGAAGTCTCATGCTTTGTGGGTTTAACCCTGTGTAATACTTTAAGAAAACTATGTAACCTTCTCTGGAAGTGAGAACAAGCTGATGGTCTCCAGAACCTACAATATCAAGTTTATCTGCAATTATAATCTTAGATGGTACCCGTTCGATTCACAGGTAAATATCGTTAATACATTTATATGTACTAAATGTACAGTTGTACAGTTGTACAGTTTTACAGTTGCACAGTTGAACAGTTGGACAGTTGTACAGTTGTACAGTTGTACAGTTTTACAGTTGCACAGTTGTAAAGTTGGACAGTTGGACAGTTGTACAGTTGTACAGTTGTACAGTTTTACAGTTGCACAGTTGTACAGTTGGAAAGTTGTACAATTGTACAGTTGCACAGTTTTACAGTTGCACAGTTGTACAGTTGGACAGTTGTACAGTTGTACAGTTGGACAGTTGGACAGTTGGACAGTTGGACAGTTGTACAGTTGTACAGTTGGACAGTTGCACAGTTGTACAGCTGGACAGTTGCACAGTTGTACAGTTGGACAGTTGCACAGTTGTACAATTGGACAGTTGGACAGTTGGACAGTTGTACAGTTGTACAGTTGTACAGTTGTACAGTTGGACAGTTGTACAGTTGTACAGTTGTACAGTTGGACAGTTACACAGTTGGACAGTTGGACAGTTGGACAGTTTGACAGTTGGACAGTTGAACAGTTGGACAGTTGCACAGTTGTACAGTTGGACAGTTGGACAGTTGTACAGTTGTACAGTTGTACAGTTGGACAGTTGTACAGTTGAACAGTTGAACAGTTGGACCGTTGGACAGTTGGACAATTGGACAGTTGGACAGTTGGACAGTTGGACAGTTGGACAGTTGGACAGTTGCACAGTTGTACAGTTGGACAGTTGGACAGTTGTACAGTTGAACAGTTGAACAGTTGGACGGTTGGACAGTTGGACAGTTGGACAATTGGACAATTGGACAGTTGGACAGTTGGACAGTTGCACAGTTGTACAGTTGGACAGTTGGACAGTTGTACAGTTGAACAGTTGAACAGTTGGACGGTTGGACAGTTGGACAGTTGGACAATTGGACAATTGGACAGTTGGACAGTTGGACAGTTGCACAGTTGTACAGTTGGACAGTTGGACAGTTGTACAGTTGAACAGTTGAACAGTTGGACGGTTGGACAGTTGGACAGTTGGACAATTGGACAATTGGACAGTTGGACAGTTGGACAGTTGCACAGTTGTACAGTTGGACAGTTGGACAGTTGTACAGTTGAACAGTTGAACAGTTGGACGGTTGGACAGTTGGACAATTGGACAGTTGGACAGTTGGACAGTTGGACAGTTGGACAGTTGGACAGTTGGACAGTTGGACAGTTTTACCTTCATATTTTAGATCTGTAGCATGAACCTGACTCTCGTCAAATCGGAAGATTCAAACTTTTTAGGAAATATTCTTAAACATTTATTTAAGGTTTAATTATAAGAAAAACTAAACAAATTTTTTTCATCGACGCTGCATTAAACGTTCAAAATATTCAAAACATCAGAACTTGTGATACTTGATGATATGAAGAACCTAGTTCCTGTGGAGGTATCCCAGTATCTGATCAGAGAAATCAACGTCAAATATGATACTTTTGAAAACGGAACCAGGTACATTTTAACAGGAGAAGTTGCGAACAATCGCTTTTCTAGTAAAAATGAACTTTTAAAGAGACTAAACGTACTTTTAAGTGACCCTTCATGCAACGATTTACAACGTTACCCTAAAATCCTCAATATGTTAAAAAATATGGAAGACACAGTAGTTCTACTGAATCAAAAAGTGTTTAATTATAATAATCTCTCCATTGCCCTGTTGTAGAGAAACCGCAACTGAAAATAACCAAAAAACATGGATATCTAATTCATACTTGATCAGACAACGCTTTAAAGGGTCCTGTTCTGGATCAGGCAAAAATCATTGCCATCTGTACATGGAAGGTTACTTGAAATTACGCTTACAGTCTCTTTAAGTGTCCTTCATATTAGTAGGCAATATCGAAATTCTTTATTTCAAAAGAAGACGCACTTAAGCGGACGCACTTATTATGAACCTCTTCTTTTAGTTACACGGGCAGCCGTAGTACATTTGAATTTCCGAGCCGGGTCAACCTTTCCGGTCCCATTTTGTACTGTATCGCCCAGACATTGCGTAAATAAAGCAGACACTCAATAGGACTATAGTCTGTGCAACGTTGACGCGGTTAGACTTTAGGTTGAATTTACTTTTACTAGAGGGTCAGGGCCCAGGGGTGCGTGGTTAATACTTTTTGAGGAAAACAGAAGCATGTAGGTTTAAGAATACTATGCAAAGTTTAAATAATTATAATTTATATAAATGGTTGAAAAAAAAAGATCATAAAAATGCATTCATTTAAATCTTAAAATCCGGATATTCATTTGGAGGCTGATTTTATATATATGTGAGAACCATAGTCCAGAGTTTTCTGGTTCTCACTGTAGATATCAATCAATATCAAAAAGAGTTACTTGCACTTTTTAATTTAATTAGAATATTTTTTAATCTTACTCAAGTATATTTGTACAAACACTTAACAGGGTCTAAAAATAATTAAAAAAATGTTTTTCTTCCTTGGTAGACAAGGTGGTTAAAATTAATTGACATTAAATAAACACGAATAATTGCTGTTTGCTCAAAGTACTTTTTAATATTAAAGTTTACAAAACAAACCCCTTGAGGGGCGAGGCCTGAGAGTGGGGTTTAATTAATTTTATATTTAAAATTTAATTCACAATATTCACAATAATTAGTAACGATATTTACAATAAATTACAATATTTACAATATTTACAATATTTACAATATTTACAATATTTACAATATTTACAATATTTATAGTATTTACAATATTTACAATATTTACAATATTTACAATATTTACAATATTTACAATATTTACAATATTTACAATATTTACAATATTTACAACACTAACAATATTTACAATATTTACAATATTTACAAAACTTACAATATTGTAAACATTTACAATATCTACAATATTTACAATATTTACAATAAATTACAATATTTACAATATTTACAATAAATTACAATATTTACAATATTTACAATATTTACAATATCTACAATATCTACAATATTTACAGTATTTACAATATTTATAATATTTACAGTATTTACAGTATTTACAATATTTACAATATTTACGATATTTACAATATTTACAATATTTTCAATATTTAAAATATTTTCAATATTTAAAATATTTTCAATATTTACAATATTTAAAATATTTAGAATATTTACAATATTTTCAAAATTTGCAATATTTAGAATATTTACATATATTGTAGAGGAGTAGTTGTACAGTTTGTGATGGGAAGAATGATAATAAGTCAGGTAATGTGCCTGCTAAACCAGGGGTACATATAATTCCATTTATGATCCCAAATGGGAGCGGGGTTGAACGTACATTTAGGGGCCTGAAAATACACTTTCTGTGTCATTAATGACACAATTCACAATTGTGAACTATGGCAATTTTATTTGTAAGATGTAGTACACTTCAAAAATGTTTACTGCATTGGGGTTGTAAAAGATGTAACTATCACTATCAGTATGCAATATTTGAGATAAATTATAAAATACAGAGAAAAAACTCCCTTGCAGTATAAATTCTGCAGTATGAAATTTTGTCTACAACTTGACATCATACTTCCATTGTTTTCGATAGCTACAGAGCGTCCTATATCATATTAGATTATCTCCTCTTTAACGTCAAATTACGCACATAATACTTGAAAAATCTAGCATTGTTTTCGATAGCTACAGAGCGTCCCATATCATATTAGATTATCTCCTCTTTAACGGCAAATTANAAAATTGTTATCATTGCATTTTATCAGTTTTTAAAAGACGTCTTTCACTTTAATTTCCGTAAAATATATTCTGAAGTGGTTTATATCAGACTACTGGATGCTTTTCTCTCTGTTTGTTCCTGTCATGGAAATCCTGCTCCATACTATAGAAGATCATCTGAAAAGATCCAGGTAGAAAGATTAAAAATGACGTCTTTTCTTATAAATGTCGTCTTTTTTAAAAATTTACTTTGTCTCATTTTTATTTAACCCTATCTCTGCTGGGGTACTTGAAAACCAGGATATACTAGCATTGTTTTCGATAGCTACAGAGCGTCCCATATCATATTAGATTATCTCCTCTTTAACGCCAAATTACGCACATAATACTTGAAAAATCTAATGAACCCCTTTGTTACGTTACTGATACAATATATTATTAGAGAATTTCCATTATTTCGAATTTTCGGACTGGCGGGTTTTAATGAAAATTGTTGCACTTTGCAGCTTTTTATATATGAATATGCAATAAACCTAAGGCCGAATTTAAAGATTTAAACTGGCGCTCAATTGAAACCGGTTTTCGGGGGATTTGAGAACGGCAGAAATTCGTTAAATTTGGACACTGATTACATTATCATATGTGAAAATAAATCATTATTTTGTAGTCTAAAACAATTGGATAAAATGTGGAACCCATTAAATAGTGGATTAGGAAGACGACATTTAAGCAATCTTTGTGTATTTGATGTATTTATAAAGCAAATAGTTTTATCAGTAGTAATGCCTGAACATAAGTTGCGAACATTTTACAAGTACAATACACAATGGCTCTCCTTCATGTTCACATGGCTTGTGCAGTGTGCATAGGAATATTTAAAACCATAATTTAATTGTTAAGTGGCCTGTTGTATGAAGTTCACAATCACTGTATAAGATAAAACTATAATAAAGTAAAAATACATTTAAAAAAAGGCAATAACCTTTTGATAGGCGACTATATTACCTATGTTTTATATTAACTGTATTAGGTTATGACTATCTATATTCCCACCTTGTTGATAATAATGGTTTCCTACCTAACAACGTTCTTCAACAACTCAAAATGGTTCGGACACATTATAACGATCAACCTAACGGTAAGTTGTTATATTCTAGCATTATAACGATCAACCTAACGGTAAGTTATTATATTCTAGCATTACAACGATTAATATTACAGTAAGTTTCTTTATTCTCGCATCATAACGATTAATCTAACAGTGAACTGATTATTTTCACATTATGATGATCAATATAACAGTAAGTTGTTATATTCTCACACTATGATGATCAATTTAACGGTAAGTTGCTTTATTCTTACATCATAAAGATCAATCTAACGGTAAATTGATTTATTCTAACATCATAACGATCCATATAACGGTAAGTTGTTATGTTTTTACATCATAATAATCAATATAACGTTAAGTTGATTTATTCCTTATTCTTAGTCCATGCTAGTGCTGACATATATTATTCCTAGGCTATGTTAGTGCTGACATATATTATTCCTAGGATATGTTAGTGCTGAAATATATTATTCCTAGGCTATGTTAGTGCTGACATATATTATTCTTAGTCCATGTTAGTGCTGACATATATTATTCCTAGGCTATGTTAGTGCTGACATATATTATTCCTAGGCTATGTTAGTGCTGACATATATTATTCCTAGGATATGTTAGTGGTGAAATATATTATTCCTAGGCTATGTTAGTGCTGA